GGGAGGGTTGCACCATTCAGGACCAGGTCAAATCCACCCTCTCCGAAACCCGATCCGCCAACCAACAGGACCTCCGTCTTGTCTGGGTTGAGTTTCAGCTTATTGGCCCTCATCCATTCCCTTACCTCGGCCAAGCACCGGTTCAGCACAGCCACTGCCTCACCTGGATTAGCCGCCCTGGCCAGATAAAATCTAGTAATACTAACAGTTAAAATGCCGCTTAAATAAAAAGGTCTTTGCCTGGCGCCGAAAAACATAACGACGGCGCCAGGCGGACCTCTCTAGGGAGCGCGTTCCATAACTTAGGCGCCACCGCAGAGAAAGCCCTCCTCCGAGTACCCACCCTCCTAATTTCTTTCACGGAGGGTTCCCGGAGAAGGGCCTCTCCCGCTGATCTCAGGGGGTGCCCGGGCATATATGGACGTAAGCGCTCCTCCTCCTAAAATATGAATATGAAGAGCAGAGGCTCACCCTAGATTCAAGATGTAATTCCTGGCAGTACCACATTATATTGGGAGAGGTCACTACAACCTCATACTCCCTTTGCTTCCTAGGCAAGATGTGCCACTTAAAAGCATAACAAGACTGCATATCTTCCCAATTCCTGCTGGACAAAGGCACAGTTCTACCTCCCTTTCTAATATAGATCGGAACACTGTCCAGGCCCAGTAGATAATTCTCTACATTGTACTCTTACTTGTTAGAAGTTCATTCTGTTACAAAGAAGAAAAAGGGGATATGACTGAAGACAGAAAGTGCAAAAGGAAACAAAAGGTTTCCGTATTCCTAAATATTTGAAATTCACAGTAGACTTTTGAACTTAAACTCTCAGACACCTATGAGGGTAGCTATGCATTAAGAAATATCAGGCAATTTTGTATAGGTCAAAAGCTTTAGAAGCATTATTATTATACTTTGAGTTGTGCTATAGCCAAAGCTTTCAGGGTGACATACAAGACAACATAGATTACTTCCTTAGGGAAAGTGGAAGCAATAGGTTTTTTGCCAGAGATCAGAAAATGTTTTCCCAGAGGGTGAAAGTGTCAGAGACCACCATTTGGGCTGCCTTTAGGTAAGGTGGGTGTCTAGGTCACATGTAACATTCACTATGTCTCAGCATCAGATAGGAGTAGTTAAGCAATGTAAAAGATTAAGAAAATTATGCAGTAAAGTCTTCTCATAACTTTGTAGTTATGTACAGAAAGTTTCTTATTACTGCATTTTCTTGGGGTTAGGCAGTAGCATAAAAGCTGTGCACATGCGACAGACAGGATGGTTCCTTAAGTAGCCAGAAACACTTTTTAAATTGAAAACAGTCGATGACTGGATTCACACAACAGGATAATGCATGTTCAAGGCTGAGTGTGTATTGTTATCAAAACATGGAGTGTTGTGTTGTATGAACCCAGATTTAATTACAAACTATAGATTGTTAACCACAAACAGCCCATAGTTGATGAACCAATGGCACACCATGGCTTTTCTTAATGTATCATTCATGGTTAGCCAGTGCACAGTATTGGGACCATATTGTACCTGTCCTGAAAGACCTGCATTGGTTGCCAATTGTTTTCTGAGTGCAATTCAGTTAAATCATAATAATACCAATATTTCTCTGTAAAAATTGAGGTATAACTATGTGTCTCTTGGATTTAAGTGCAACCAGTTTGGAATGAAGAAAAGAAGGAAAAGATTGTTTTTGCTAGGAATTTCCTAAGTCTTGTAATTTGTCATTTGTAGAGATGCTATTCTAATGTTCAGTTTTATTGATTTCATAGGATAGCAAAAGACCCACGATTTGAGCGCTTGCCATGCACCCACAAAGGAACCTATGCAGATGACTGTTTGGTACAGAGAGTCACTCAGGTACCTCCTGGAATTTTTCTACTGAACTGTTGATGTCAGATTATTTAGAAATGTTTAAATTCTGTCAGTGTTAATAACCTGACGAAAGCTATCCTTCCGTTGAAGTTAATATTGCCTTGGAAGAAGTTGTTATTATTGCGAACAACCGACTGTAAATTTTCTCATCACTCCAGCACATGACACTGGAAATCCTAGGTTTTAAAGGAGAAAGGTTTGTTGTTTGTCCCAGCACTAGTCTTTTTGAAATAGATATTCTCTGGCAATCAGTGATCAAAGTAATGGAAGCATTTTTTTCTAAATATGAGATTGTCCCTTTCTCTTACAGCACAAGTGTTACATAGTGGCTACTGTAGACAGAGACCTCAAACGAAGGATACGAAAAATTCCAGGAGTCCCAATAATGTATATTTCTAACCACAGGTAGGTAAGCTCCTAAATGGGAAATACCAATTCATGGTGTCTACTCTAAATAGGATTTATGTTGGGTTTTACTCATTCTTTTATTTTTTAAAATATTTTTGCAATTGTAATTTTTTAATGTCTTTTAATATTGGTTTTATAGTGTTTTGACACCCAAAGAATTTTGACTATTTATTTAAAGCTTTTCTATACCATCCCATACTTAGACATCTTGGAACGGTTTACAGCAAATTAATCCTAAAAATAGAGATAAGAATAACAGTTGCCTCGTATCCAGTGTTAAAATATAACCCACTAAATAAAACAAGTTAACAATTAAAATACTGTAAGAATAAAGAGGTTTTTACCTGCTGCCGAAAGGAAAGAAGTATTGGTGCCAGGCAGACCTCTCTGAGGAGCATGTTCCACAGTTGGGGCGCCACTGCAGAGACGGCTCTCCTCCGGGTAGTCACCCTCTTGATCCATTTCAAGGACAGTTCCCAGAGGAGGGCCTCTGACTCAGATCTCACGGAGCACGAGGGCACATAGGGGAGATAAAATATGGCAATAAAAAGACTATAGGGCAATAAAAACTGAATGAATAAGGGTACAATTCTGTGATCCTTGAATATCATCCCAAAGCCTTGGAGGCTGCTATGATTTCAAAAGTGAGGTTCCAAAATCTATTACCTCCTACACCTTGTCACAGCAGCCACAGAAAAGCTCGTGGCACCTGCTTTCCAAGTTTGCAAAAGCAGCATTTGGGGGATCCCATAGACGTAAAAAGGAGGTGTTGTAGTGGGAGGGAAGGGGCCAGGATATGAAAAGTCCTATTGCCTCCCAATCCCAGAACTATGCCTGGCAGTGTGTCAACTCTGCATGGGCTCAGGGGCCTCCTTAGAGAGAGCAAAAAGGATGGAGGAGTAAAAATTACTTTATTGCTCTTTGCACCCTTCTGTGTGCAGCCTGCTAGAGCAGTGGATTCTTGGAAACCCACAAGTTTAGAGGGTTCTAAATTTAAAGTAATATCTGATGACAAAATGAATTTGCAGTTTGTTTTGTAATAGAGTATCTTTGCCAGCGTATTTATATATCTGCACCTGTTTGCAGTTACTCACTTGTGTAAGGAAAGGCATGATAGTAACAGAAACCACATCACACTTATATTTGCAGTGGTTCTATGGTAAAATATGCTGGAGTAAACCATTGGTACCCATTTGATCTAGGTTAATATACAATTGTGTAGTGACACCTGAATTATCTTACACTACAATCGTATGAATGTCTACTCAGATGTAATCCTCATTGAAATCAATGGCATGTATAGGATTGGAACCCAATATGTACATTTGCAGTTACGCATAAATGGTTATTTTTGCTAATTGCTTCCCTCCTTTACCTGTATAAACTTCCCTTGGTATTGAAAGTGAGATTTATAACTTTTTGAGGGAAGGGATCTGCATTTATTTGATTACTATATAAAGTATATGTATTTTTTAATTTTATTTCTATAGGGTCCAGTAGCCAAAGCTCTCTGGGCAGTTCAGAACAATTACAGACTGATGGTGCTATATTAGTTAACAGGAAAAATGGATTATAAATAATGCATAGCTCCTTCCTTCAGCCCTTGTTATTGCTTTGTTTACTGAATGGTTCAGCATCTTTTACTTCTACAAATGGCTCTAAGGGTTATATAATTCTAAGAAATATGGAGTCTTCATGTGAGCTTGCTGCATATCAAAATGGAAGAATGATAGACCACTTCTCAATGTTTCTTTTTCATGTAGATATAACATTGAACGGATGCCTGATGACTATGGAGCTCCCAGATTTTAACCATCTATTGGAAAGAATCCAAGTCAACCCTGCTATGTCATATTGCCATATTCCAGAACACTGAACTGATCACTTCCTCTGTTTCTAATTTACTTCCTCTGGAGCAGGACTGCTTTCTTAGACAGGTCTCTTCAGGAAAAAAATGCCATCTATTCCCATGCCTTGTGTTCCAGAATAAATACTCCTTATTATTTAAAAGTGTGTCTTTAAGAATGTATCCCAGCGGTCCTCAAAACTTTTTCAATAGGGGGCCATTTGAAAGGCTGCAGTGACTGTCACGGGCTGGTGAGGTGCCATCGGGCACAGGCGAGGCAGCATCAGGCACGCACAGCGGTGGCTCGCCTGCTCGAAGATCTCCCAGTGAGTCCAAAACCATCTCCGCGCGAGCGAGTCACCACCTCCCTGCCCACACAGCAAGCGCGCACGCGGGCGGTGAACAGCGGCACAGGCCAGATGGATGGCCATGGTGGGCCAGATCCATCCTGCGTGCTGTAGTTTGAGGACCCATGATGTATCCTTTACTATTTGAATCTTTTCTCTTGTTACAGCCATCTCAATTAAATTTTCTTGTGATACTCCTTTACATAATATTGGAAGGGACCTCTTATGGGAGGGAATGCAGTGGTACCTTGGCTCACGAACGCCTTGGGTCACAAACAAAAATTTCATGAAAATTTTGACTTGGGTCACGAACTCCACTTTGGGTGGCGGCCAAGATCGCAGCCATCTTCCCCCCCCCACCCCGAGTGGGGAGATGGCCACGATCACAGTGGCATTCGTTCAAGGAAGACGTGCGTGATCACGGCTGTGCTGCGTCCGTCTTTCCTGCAGGAGCACACCCATGATCACTCACGCCTTCCCTATACGAATGCAACTGCGATCCTGGCAATCTCCCCACTCAGGGTGGGGAGATGACCACGATTGTGCTGGTTGGGGGTCGGGGGGGAGATGGCCGCAATTGTGCTTGTTGAGTGGGGGGAGATGGCCGAGATTGCACCCATCTTTCCTGTGGGAGCGCGCCCATGCCAGGATTTCTTTGAGAAGCACCACCCCAACATAACTATAACAAACAGGGTGTTGAATCTGATGAACAATGATGTGGTCTCTCATTTCCGGAGGGTTATGCAGCACAGGAAAAAACAAGTGACTATAGACAGATTTTTCACCAAAATTGATCCTGCAGCTAAGGGACAAAGAAGAGAGGAAACCCCTGAAAGAGATCTCCCCAGTGTCCTTATGGAGGGGGACTCTCCCTCAAAACAATAACCTCCCCCCCACCTAGGTTAGTGTTCTCCACTGTACTGTACAATACTTTGTTACTTTGCTGTTCTTTGTCACTTTGTTTCAAAATTTCTGATAAAGTAACAATGGATTAACCTTATTTACATTGAACCTTATGGGGAAATTTGGCTTGGGTCACAACCAATTTGGGTCACAACCAGAGTCATGGAACAGATTAAGTTTGTTAGCCAAGGTACCACTGTATACATATTTTATCATTTACCTTCCCCAATTCCTCAACAGACACCAAAACAAGACATGTTGCTAATCTTAGGTGACTGGAATGCAAAAGAAGGAAACAAAGCAGAATCAAGTGTTAAGGAAAATTTGGCCTAAGGGTAAGAAATGAAGCAGGAGAATGACTCGTAGAATTTTGTGACGCCAATAATTTAATTGCAATCACATACAGTGGCACCTTGGTTCACGAACTTAATCCGTTCCAGGACTTTGGTTGTGACCCAAATTGGTTGTGAGCCAAGTTAAATTTCCCCATAAGGTTCAATGTAAATAAGGTTAATCCGTTCTGTAACTATTTTTTTTTAATCAGAAAAATGTGAAGCAAAGTGGCAACAACAAAGATCGCAGCCATCCCCACCCCCCAGCACGACCGCAATCACGCCCATCCTCCCTGCACGTGCCCGTCATCCCGGCGCACTGTGAGGGGGAGAGACGGGCGCGAACACGGGTGCACTGGCGTGGGAGAGACAGGCGCAATCATGCTGGGGTGGGGGGGAGATGGCCGAGATCACGGTCGCCACCCAATGCAGAGTTCGCGACCTGAGTCAAAATTTTTATGAAATTTTTGTTTGCGACCCAATTCGGTCGTTAACTGAGGTGTTCATGAGCCGAGGTACCACTGTACTTCAAGAAACAACTCAGACAATTGTATACATGGGCTTCACCAAATGGCCAAAACAGAAATCAAATGTAATTGATGTAAATGCTGCTGAAACAAGACCAGGAGCAGATTGCAATAGTGACCATCAAACTCTTAATATAAAAAATCAGAGTCAAGCTAAAAAAGATCACAGAGAGAAGCATAGTGCCAAAATATAATTTAAGTAACATCCCTGAAGAATTCCATATAAACAACAGAATTGCATTGCTCAGCTTGATTGACTGTGAGCCAGAACTGTGGATTGAAACTAGAGATATTATTAGAGAAGAATGCCAAAAGACAATTCCTGCAGCAACAAAGAAAATGCTTAAATGGGTAACAGAGGAAAAGCTCAGCTGCAAAGGACAGGTAAAAAGCAAAAGACATAAATTGGGTCAAAATCCTGACTGCAACTTTTCAGTGATGATCACATAGAGACAAAAAGAACTATTACAATGATTGGTGCAAATAAAAGAGAATGACAAAAGGGGGAAAACAAGTGATCTCTTCCAGAAGATCCAAAAAATCAAAGAGAAATTCAAACTTGGATTAGGAATGCTAAAAGACAAACATGGCAGCATACTATATGACAAGGAGAAGACTGAGACTTGGAAGGGCATCAATGAGAGTGACAGAAAAGATCATCCTTCAAACTATTATATTAGGTGATTGAGAAAGCTGGGCAATGAAGAAAGCTGACAAAAAGGAAATTGATGCATTTGAAACGTGTGGCTGGAGGAGAGCTTTGCAAATACCCTGCACTGACAGAAAGACAAACAAGTGGGTGCTAGATCAAATCAAGTCAGAGCTTTCCCTAGAAGCAAAAATGACAAAACTGAGGCTCTCATACTTCAGAAACATCATGAGAAGGCAAGACTCTCTGCAGAAGTCAATCATGTTAAGGAAAAATGAAGGCAGAAGACAAAAGGGAAGACCAGATGTGAGATGGATTGAATCCATAAAGGAGGAAGCCACAACCTTGACTTTGGAAGATGTGAATGGCGCTTCATGGACATGACAGTTTGGAGGCCTTTCATTCATAGTGACACCATAGGTCCAAAATCACTTGACAGCACATAACAAAAATGGATGCACTTTCTGTAGCATAAATTACAGTAAACATATTCAGATTACCTTCCATAATGCTGTTGAAATATAGTTCACCTCTACATTTGCTATAAACAGATTCACTTAATGTTAACAACATGACTCACATAGATTGCATACAAATTTTCTTCTAGATATATTCCACATTTAATTCAATAAAACTTCTGAGTAGCCATGCACATAAGAAACAAATTTCATAAGCACAAATGGCAAAAGTCTACTGGTTTTGTTTGGCAATGTCTGAAGTGACAAAAAGCAATATAGAAACACTAGAATAACGTTAGTGAGAAAAATTTATTGAGAATAAATATAGCCATAATTTACTTTTCATCAAATTTGTATCGAGCCCGTATTCCAAGGCACTCAGCTCCTAGATTTTTGCTGTGCCATATAAGTTACTCTTGATTTTTAACGTAATTTATAAAGGAAGGATGTATTGGAAAGAAGTGGTAGAGCTTGCTTGTTGGATAGTAATTAAAATAAAGCTGTGTTCTAACGATAAGGGACCTATTACTATTTCGCTTGTGTTTACAGTGCAGACCAAAGTTCAACGCGCGCCAAACAGATCTCCTGCGCCGTACAAAATTCTTCCTTTTGCCAAGCCGGAAACGCTCTATCTTTAACGGAAGTAGTACTCTATAGTTCGGGCGGGCTGAAACCCTTAGTACGCAGGCGCACCGGGTCGCACGCGCCCCCGTTTCTGTCCGCCGCTGTAGCGGCCTGCGGAAGCCCGTGATTTACTCAAGCCGACATCGTCTGAGATCCGCTTCACGGCTCCATGTTCCCGTCGTGGGGCCTGTACGGGGCGGCCCCCGGGTCCTACCCTCCGCCGCCCACAATGATGCCGCCTCCACCAACGTTGCCTGGGCCTCTTCCAGCCGTGCTGCCTACCGCGATGCCGCCGCAGGTCCCGGTAGTGCCCCCACCACCTGCCCTGGGTAGCTACGTGCCCACCTCGACGACCCCCGCCACCGCCGGCACGGCGGGCTTTCTAAGTCTGCAGGAGCAGCACCTGGTCCAGCTGCAGCAGCTCCAACAAATGCACCAGAAGCAGCTGCAGTCGGTGTTGCTAGGGGGGCCTCCTCCACCCGGCGCGCCTCCCCCGAGCCTGCCACCGCCCGTGCCCAGCACCTCTACTGCTCCTGCTTCTTGGCAGCCGCCGGTACCTGCCGGTCCACCACCAGCGCGCAGCTATCAGAAGCAGTTTAAACACCGCGACCCTCCAGCCCCACCTCCGCCCCGAGAAACACAGTTCCGCAATCCCCCGATGCCTCCTCTTTCTCTCCCAGAAGAGGTTGCAGAGCCATCTCATTCTCCTGAAGACTGGGAACCCCTTGTCCCCTCGACTAGCCCCCATCCCCACATGGATATGGACATGGATCTGTCCTCTCCGCCGCAGTCCCCTCCCCAGTCTTATATGCCCCCACTTGAGAGTGACTCCTATATACCCTCCACTCAGCCTCTGTCATCACAGAGTCAGACTCCTCCATCATTATCTTACCAGAGCCATTCACAACTGTCGCAGGCAGTTCCACAGACCTTTGCAGACCCTTCAGCTGTTTCTCAGTCTTATCTGACCCAGGCCCAGTCTTACCAGCCTACTTCCCAGTCTTCATCCCAACCAGGCCAGCCTATTGCTCCATCCATTTCACAGTCTGAATCTCGCTTCACCTCATCTCAGATGACACAGCCCACTCCTGAACCTCAGGACTTAAGACAAAGTAGTGGTCCAGGCACTGATACATGTGAGCGACAGCAAAGCACCTCACATGCAGATCCCTCTGCAATGACCCCACAGGTAAGAAAGAAGTATGCAGTATAATTTGGTCCTAGGCTGTGAAAGTTGTCTGGTGAACTATCTTTGTAATCAAGTTCTTAGTGTTCTATAGATGGTGACTGGAAAAGGATAAAAGTGATGATATGTAGTAGTGAATTCTCATTTGTATGGGATACACCTGGGTTAAAATTCAGTTACAGCCTAAAGGTTCACATTGTTATAATTCCTTTTATTTATATGCTGAACTACATAATGATTCTTGTATTATATTATCATAAAGCAGAATGGGCAACTTGTGGGCCTCTAGGTGTTTTTCAACTGCAACTCCCATGATCATAGGGTGGCTTGATACTTTTCTTTTTAAAAAGGAAAAGGCTTTGGAAGTGAACTCTACATGTTACATTCTTAGAGATCTTCGTTCATGTATGCTCATGCATGTGTGCATCCTTGATTATCTAACATAGAGTTCACATCTCTTCCCTGAAGGACTTCATTTTAGAAAATTGTAACACATGAATCAGCTTAAAGGCAGCTACCTTTTCTGTTTCCACAATTTCCAAACACATGGATTTTTAAGGCTTAATGTGAGCTATTTTTTTTATTTACAACTCACTTTCTATGAAAGAATGTCACGCTTTCTCAACACAGTGTCCCCTTTAAGCCCTGAAGTACAACTCCCACCATCCTCTGCCAACACTGGTAATGAAGAAGGCTGAACTAGGGAGTCTCAGCTTTAACTTCTGTTTTGAATTCAGGGTTTATCCTGAACATGTGAACTAATGATAAAAGAGTGTCTGGAAGCTCAAGCAGAATGTTTTTCTTCCCTCACCACTGAGAACTGCAGCCAGTTAATGTGTTTGGGATTAAGGGACAGGACTTCTAGGACCTGTGCTGTTAAGTCTTTTTTTCCTCTTTCTCTCTGAATTGAAACATATTAACTTAAATACAATTCCCACTTACTTCCAGGTAAGTGCTTAGGATTACAGCCTTAAAACATTGCCACCTGGTTAGCTTTGAAAAGCAAAGTCATAATTGCACTTCTTGCACTTTAGATTTAAGCAGCAGAATCCTACAGGGTACAAAACAGGGTACAGTTGCATTCTGCACAAGGCTTCTTCATACTGATGATGTGGACAAGGTGCTTGGACAAGTACGCCCTACCACTTGCTTACTAGACCCATGCCCATCTTGGCTACTTAAGAAATCCAAGGACGGGATTGGGACCTGGATCCTGGAGGTGGTCAACGCCTCTTTAAGAGACGGCCGGGTACCTGCCCCTTTAAAGGAGGCAGTAGTCCAGCCAGTCCTAAAGAAGGCATCCCTGGATCCAGAGGTGGCCAGCAATTATAGACCGGTGGCCAACATCCCATTCCTGGGCAAGGTGCTGGAGCGGGTGGTGGCGGGACAACTCCAAGCACTCTTAGATGAAACTGATTATCTGGACCCATTTCAGTCCGGCTTCAGACCTGGGTATGGCACTGAATCTGCCTTGGTCGCCCTGTATGACGACCTATGCAGGGAGAGAGACGGGGAATGCGTCCCTGTTAGTTCTCCTGGACCTAACTTTCAATACCATCAACCATGGTATCCTTCTGAATAGGCTAGCGGGATTGGGAGTTGGAGGCACTGCGTGGCAGTGGTTCCGCTCCTATCTCAATGGCCGATTCCAGAAGGTGGTGCTGGGGGACTATGGCTCTGCACCATGGCAGTTATGCCAGGGAGTTCCGCAGGGGTCCATTTTGTCCCCTTTGCTATTTAACGTCTACATGAAACCGCTGGGAGAGGTCATCAGGAGGTGTGGGCTGCGGATTCATCAGTACGCTGATGATACCCAGCTCTACCTCTCGTTTTCCACCAATCCAGGTGAGGCAGTGGCTGTGCTGAACCGGTGCCTGGCCGAGGTAATGGGCTGGATGAGGGCCAATAAACTGAAGCTCAATCCAGACAAGATGCAGGTCCTGTTGGTGGGTGGCTTGGGCCTCGGGATGGGGGACTTGGGCCTTGTCCTAAATGGGGTTGCACTCCCTCTGAGGGACAGGGTTTGCAGCTTAGGAGTGCTCCTCGACCCTGAGCCGTCTGGAAGCTCAGGTGACGGCGGTGGCGAGGAGCGCCTTCCTTCAGCTTCGGCTGATACATCAGCTGCATCCCTTCCTGGAGAACGACTGCCTGGCGGCAGTGACACACGCGCTGGTAACTTCCCAATTAGATTTCTGTAATGCGCTCTACGTGGGGCTGCCCTTGAAGACGGTCCAGATACTTCAGTTGGTGCAGAATAGAGCTGCCAGGTTGCTGACGGGGACTGGGCGTTGTTCTCATAATAACCCCAGTTCTCCGTCAACTCCACTGGCTCCTGATTGAAGTCCGAGCCCAATTCAAGGTGTTGGTTATGACTTATAAAGCCCTAAACGGCATGGGACCTGGATATCTAAAGGAACGCATGCGTCCATATATGCCCTCCAGCCCCTTGAGATCAGCAACAGATGCCCTTCTCCGGGAACCCTCTGTGAATGATATTAGGAGGGTGAGTACCTGGAGGAGAGCTTTCTCTGCGGTGGCGTCCAATCTATGGAATGTGCTCCTCAGAGAGGTCCGCCTGGCGCCGTCGTTATTTGTTTTTCGGCGCCAGGCTAAGACCTTTTTATTTAAAACTTATTTATATTTATAGGATTTTAAATTTTTAGCCGAGATGCACTGGGGGGGTTTAAATATTTTTTAAAAATTGTTATATGGTTATTATTTACGTATTTATGTATTTGTTTCTGTTGTGAGCCGCCCTGAGGCTTCGTTGCGATGGGGGCGGCATAAAAATGTTTTAAATAAATAAATACTGACATACATACTTCATGATCGCAGCAGCCTAGCTGACAGCTGTCACTTTCTACTTGAGTTTCCGGTAGGCAGGCAGAGAAGGGTCAGTAGAACTATAAATGCGCATTTGTTGATACAGTTGCATGCATACATCTTGTTTTCATGTGAGCAGTCAAATTTTACACTTAATTGATGACTGCTTTTGAATTGGCTGTTCATTACAAGCGATGGGAAAACAGAAAGATTGTTCTAGGTATTTGTTTAGCAGTGACAGCAGAAGATAATTTTCTTTCTTGGTTAAATATAGTTTCTCCTGAATATAGTTGTATTGGGATTCTGTACTTTTACATATTTGACCACAGTTTAATTTTATGGACTCCTAAGCATTTCTTGTAATAAGTTGGTCTGCACTCCTGAATTTTACAGCACTGTTTATATTCTTGTCTTCTGTTGACAGCTTTGTCAAATAATCTGTGGGGCAGTTTACATAATTCTCATCTTTAAATCATAACAATTTAAAAATCCTATTGCTGACTGCAGAGAGAATGAAATTTGTTGCAACCCTACAGGGTGGACATAACAAAGTTTAGGAACAAAACAGCAGAAAGCCCTTTCCTGTCCTGCGTGCCTAACAAAAGGGCCTTTGCAAATGGGGATGTCTTCAAAAAGGCTTTTCCTTCTAGTTTTAATAATTAAGTTCATATCAGGATAGGTGGTCTCTCAGATACCTAGGGCCCAACTTGTTTAGAACTTTAAAAATTAAAACCCAGCATCTTGAATTGAGCCTGGAAGACAGTTGACAACCAGCGCACATTTGCTAATGTGGGAATGATGCACTCATGACACTGTGCATTCTGTTAGCAGTTAAAGCTGCCAGATGCTCTTCAAGGTCAACCCCACATAGAGTACATTGTGTTAAACCCAGTCTTTAAGCTGATACTGACCAACAGCAACATTGTCTTGTCTGGATTAATCTCAGGATAGAACATTGAAGCCTTACATCTCTAGAGGAACTGATTTTGGAAGTGAAGACAATTGAGGTGAAAGAAACAAGAAATGCTAAAGTTAATTGTATTTTATTGTTCTAACAGTCTGTGATGTACCAAAGAGTTTCAACTATTGGCTGGTATAGAAATGTTATAAATATACTTTGAATAAAGTATGAGGGCCAATAAACTGAAACTCAGTCCAGATAAGAAGGAGGTTCTGTTGGTGGGGGATTCGAGCTCCTGGGTAGGTGACTTGGGCCTTGCCCTGGACGGGGTTGCACTCCCTCTAAAGGACAGGGTCCACAGCTTAGGAGTGCTCCTCAACCCGGAGCTGCCTTGGAAGCTCAAGTGACTGCAGTGGCAAGGAGCGCTTTCCTTCAGCTTCGGCTAATCCATCAGCTGCGTCCCTACCTGGAGGAAGATTGCCTAGCAACAGATTTCTACAACGCGCTTTACGTGGGGCTGCCCTTGAAGACAGTCCGGATACTTCAGATGGTGCAAAACAGAGCTGCCAGGATGCTGACAGGGACTGGGCATTATTCTAATATAACCCCTGTCCTCTATCAGCTCCACTGGCTTCCCATCCAAGTCCAGGCTCAATTCAAGGTGCTGGTTATTACCTATAAAGCCCTAAACGGCTTGGGACCTGGATACCTAAAGGAACTCCTTCGTCCCTATTTGCCCTTCTGCCCCCTGAGATCGGCAGCAGATGCCCTCCTCTGGGAACCCTCTGTGAAACATATTAGGAGACAGAGTACCTGGAGGAGGGCCTTCTCTGCGGTGGTGCCCCATCTATGGAATGCGCTCCCCGGAGAGGTCCGCCTGGCGCTGTCATTATATGTTTTTCGGCACCAGGCTAAGACCTTTTTATTTGATCAATATTTTAATAAGTTTTAATATTGTATTTTGTCCATTATATTTTAACCGCAGCCAGAGTGGGTCGATAATTTATGTTTGGTGATATTTGTATTTTATCTTTGTAAGCTGTCCTGAGGCTTTTGCAAAGGACAGAATATAAATATCCTAAATAGAGAGAGAGAGATTAATTGTAAACCGTTCCGAGGCACTACTATAAGAACAGTTTATAAAAGTTTTGAATGAAGGAAGGAAGGAAGGAAGGAAGGAAGGAAGGAAGGAAGGAAGGAAGGATACTTTCACCCTTCAGAGCCCCATGTACATTTCAGTCTCTTACCACAGTCTATTGCCACAAGTAATTAAGGAACTAACAGAAGTGTGTGTGTGTTTAAATTTTCCCAGTAGTTACTTCTGGAGAAGTTGTAGCTTGACTTGGTACACTGTAGTAAGTTTAGTGTCAGTTACATACCATGCTGTGTGGTTTTTTTAATCTTAGAAAAGAATTTGCCTGTGCATTCACTACTATTACTTGAACACTGTGGTATAGCTTGTATGTTTTCATAACAACTACTACTAATTATTATAGTGCTTCATTGTTTCCAGCCGGAGTTAACTGAGGCATACCATCCATTTCATAATTTTTCTGAGAAATAGTTGTGTTATGTAAATTAAATGGGTAACAGATTTTTCAGGAATACCTTTCTTTCATCTTTGAAGTGTTTTTCTAAGATATGATACCAGAGAATTTTAACAGTGTAGAACAATAATCCTACATTAACAGGAATGAAAAATGTATCCTATGTTTACACTAGTCTTTCTTGTGATACAAGATACATTCCTTTGCTCCTTATTCAGAGCAAGAGCTGAGTGTGAAGTCTTGTGGTTTGATGTTTTTTAAAGCAGAGTTTCAGATTTGTGTATGCTCAGCTTCTGCTTCCATCTTCCATGCAATGTGTACAAATAGTCCAAACCCAGATCATTAGTAGGTAATAGCTTATTTTTGTGAGTGGGCAACAGAGTGGCTTCTTGTAGGGTTATTTTTGCCCACAGTGGGTTATTGTGTCATCAGAACAAAAGAGAGTGAGTTTGTTGTGGGTTACTGTGTTAGGTTACAGAGCCACTTGGCAAGAGCAGTAAAAACACCTATGCTGTTTGCCTTTTGTGAAGATGCCAGTGGCTAACCTTGCACTGATATCAACATGGCAGTCTATCATTTGTAATGTTCTTATTTTTCAGCACCTCAAAAATCCTCTGCTGAAGTCATAGGTTTTGGTTGGTGGTGATGGTGGTCTTTCACAAGTGAACTCTTACAGCTGCTCCATATATGTAGTCTTTCCTGATGAATTTCAGTATTTGTTTTCACCTGTCAAAGGGAGTGCAAAGTGGGTTAGGCAGCCTTGTCTTGTTAATTTCCTTGTATATCGGCTAATTTGCACATAGTTATGATGGAGAAGGCTTGCAATACTTTTATATATTTATTTGGAAATTCATATTTTCCACATTCAGACATTTCTGTTTTCCTTCATAATATCAGAAATGGATTAAAATTTTATATGAAAGTCTTACAGCCAGTAGAGTCTTGTCTGGATGCATTTGTTTTGTCAGAGAGGTACTAGGGCAGAGATACCCACATTCTCTAGTCACATTCAATTTCTGTTTGAAACCCTTGGGATGTGCTAGTTGACAAAATCCTAATATTCATGGATTTGTGCACAATGTATTAGTATTCTCTATGCTGTTAATATTCTAGAGTTTTAGAACTTCAGACATCTCTTCCAGTTTTGGTGCAATGAGTTTGACCTCTATCTAGTTATTCTATTAACTGGTTAAAGTTGGAACTCACATCTACTGGAGATAATATACCCCATACTTTGCCACCTATTTAGCATTTTAGACTTGTCCCAATAGATATATCACAAATAATTACATTAAATTTAAGTTATTAATGAGAGCTCAAGAAATAGTGACAGAATGGCATCCATAAAATTAAGTCTTTGAGATTGTGTAAATACATTTAAAACTAATGTAATGCCTCAAATTGTTTATACTTTATGTGGTAATCATTTGTTTATATGTGGTAAATATTTCCAGAGGGACAATGTAATGTTTTGTAAATTTTTATGGAGTTCCACTCCACCACAAATATTCCTGGGAAAAGATGCAACTGTTGATCAAAGAAGGTACATTTGACTTCTGTGATGTTTCATTGTACTATTGGGCCTATTTGTTGACTTGCACTAGGTTTTGATCTTTTCCACGTAGATTGGATTCCTCTCCCTAGTCAGTTTTGGAATCTTCATTTCTGGATGATCCTCCAAACTGGATTGCTGTACACCAAAATACATAGTGTACCTCCCCCATAGTTGTGGGGGAAGTTTGGTCCTGCTACCTTTACAACTTTAGAACTCCCTCTGTTATTGAAAGGATTGATTGACACCAAATGTCTGCCTTGGCCTACAATTCATGTGTATTAATATCTGTTATCAGTGATTAGCTGATCAGGGTCTTAATTGTGAATAAAGAACTGGAATATTCCATCTTGTCCAATCAAGGGAGTGTTTCATGATTATTTTGCAGGTGGTCACAGATCTTAGACTATGCTTAGTTCTGCATAATTGATGTTTCAAGTATACTGACATCACAATGTCTCTTTGATAAAGGCTTAATTAAATTAGCCAGTTGTTGGAAGTGTAATGTTTCTAATGCTTCTTGTGTTCCTATGTTTTGGCAATGTCCAATAGCAACTTCCTTTCAGGAAGAGGTAATGATTCAGATGAATCCTGTGATTCATCCTTAATATTTAAGAATATGCATGTTCTTTTGCATTACCTGTTCAACTCTTGCAATTAAATGCAAGGTTAATGCAGATGCATTTTCCATTCCATTTTGACAGTTAAAAGGCTAATAATAAGACATTGAGAGGATAAACAGCCCCCTAGAATCATAGAAAAGTAGAGTTGGAAGGGGCCATAAAGGCCACTAGGACCAACCCCCTGTAATAACACGGTGGGTGGAGAATTAAATGAAACTTTTAAATTTTGAATGGATGGTGTAATCTACAAATGGATCATTACGTGGATATTTGGTGTTCCTTTGTTCAAATCTGTCCATAATTATTTTTAGTAACCATAGTATGTTCTGTTTTATACTAATATATAAGGATATATCATATAAGTAACTAATGTTATGGATTGTTTTACATTTTATTCAAAAATTATAATGTTTCAGTAATTCTTTTTTTGCTTTTTTTCTTCTCTGCTGGTGCAATTTGGTTATTTTGTACTGCAAAATAAAAATAAATATTAAAAAATTAAAGCCTCTGGAAGAAATAATATTGAAGGAAAGGAAGAACCCAGTAGCACATTAGAAGCACTGAAAATGGGGCAGTGGCAAATTATGAACCCTCTAGACTTTATACAGACAGTGTTTCTTAAAGCTTCTTTTGTGATCCCTACTGGTAAACTAGCTGCACTGTGTGGTGCAGATATTGGTGATTTTCTGCTAATTTTCTTTTATCAGGGAAAGTGTAAACAATGTACTCTTACTGTGGTCTAATACCAGTGACCAACTCAGCAAGTAGAAGGCTTTCCGCAACTTATTTGCTTTGTCGGCTATTTTGGTGAAAATCATGAAGTTTGTTTCCTGTCATGTTAGGACCTTATTACATGGTCACAGTTCTTCTACTCCTGTCTATTAACTACTTGGAGAGTCTGATTCTGTCATTAATAAAAACCAGTAGCAGATGATAATAGGTGGAGAAAGTATTTTTCCAAGGTTCATTTTTCAATTGTAAGGATGTTTCACTGGAGACCAAGATCAATCACACTATTGTATTCCCAATCACTGTATTTGGATATGAATGTTGGGACAGTAAAGAAAGCTGATGGTGTTTGATGTGTTCAAAACATGGTGTTGGAGTGAGCTTTGCAAATACCCTGGACCAGCAGAAATGTGAACAAGTGGTCCTAGATCAAATCAAGCCAGAGTTTTCCTGAGGAGCAAAAATGACAAAACAGAGACTGTTCATGAGAAGGCAAGGCTCACTGGAGAAAACAATCATGCTAGGGGGAGTTGAAGTCAGAAGAAGAAAAGGAAGACCAAGTAGGAGATGGATTGAATCTATAAAGTAAGCCAAAGCCTTGACTTCCAGGAGCTGAACAGGGCTATGAAGGAGATGACATTTGGGGGGCCTTTCATAGGCTCATCAAAGGATTGGAGACAATTTGACATAACAACAATGCACAGTCAAGGGAGTATGGAGATAAAGAACTTTTTCACACCCCACCAACCCAGCAAGGCATGTAGACAGCTGATTTTGGCTAGCTTAACTGCAGTGTTTTAGAGTATGAATGAAGGAGGCTGAGGTGCTGCCAGGATTACCATATAACTTGATGCCACTGATCTCTCCCTCTTCACACACCCTAGAATACCTACTAAGGCCTTTCTTTGTAGTTGTTTTTGAAACTTTTGAGAAGCAGTTGGTTATTTCCACATCGGCTGCAAGAGACAGGGAGGGCACTCCAAGTCTAGGGGCTATAGGATTGCTCTGTTATTTACTTACTTCAACTATATATGCTAAATTCTCTTCTAAAGTGGTACCCAAGGAGGTTACAGAATAGATAACTAAACAAACACCAATATTAAAATCAGACATCTCAATGTATTTTCATTTATGTTTGCACTTTACATTTATAAATTCTGTGTGTCTGTCTGTCTGTCTGTCTGTGTGTGTGTGTGTGTGAGAGAGAGAGAGAGAGAGAGAGAGAGAGAGCGCGCGAGCTTTTTGTTGCCTTTCTATAATACTGTTCCTTGGAACAATTTTAATCAAACTTTAAACAACGCAATCATAATGAAACAAAATAAAGTACAAACAAATGTACAATAAGGGAAAAAGCAAAAATAAGAGATTTGAGTATGCCAAATAAAAAGCTACCAATTACCATTCGTTTGTATAATTAACATCCTGATGAAACCTGCTACTTAAATTTTCATTTTTGATATTTGTCATAATGGAAATAGTTTTTTTCTGAAGTAGGTAGGTTGAAATTGTTTTCAAATGTCCTGGAAAAATGTTCTATTTTCATTCTCAATTTTCAGTGATTTAACGTAGATTGCTTCTAAGATAGGCTCTCATAAGCTCAGATACTACTATTCTTCCTACCTTTTGTTGTTGTTACAGGAGCAGCAGCAGTATTGGTATCAACAGCATCTGCTTACTCTGCAGCAAAGGGCAAAAGCACATGCTCAGGGTCAGCAGCCACCCTCAGTTTTAGGAGTTACAAATGATGCTCCTGAGCAAAGGAAAGAAGAAAGAGAAACATCTGTTTCCGATGACCTTTCTCAGCAGTATGAACCCCAATTACCAAAGCCCAAAGATGGTAACCTTCCTTCGTCATCTGTTGAGCCCAAGGTATGCTATGCGCAGAGGTGCCACTTTGTATTGTGTTCATAGGGATTTGTTTCCCTCTCTTGCTTATTTCAGATTATCTGTTACAAGTGGAAGGCATGTAGAAAAATGTCAGTCTGTGCCATAGTAGCCTTAGAACACAAGGGTGATTAATGAGAACCATTTGCAGATTAGTTGACATTTACACTGCTTTACTGCAGGCTTGAAAAGCTTCAGGTCTTGTATTCTGCCTTCTTCTCATGCTGATTCATTGCAGGAATGTAAATCCAGAATGTAAATCAAGAATGTGAGGAGATAAATTTAAATAATCCACCCACAGTTTTTCAGTTGACAGTCTGACCATTTTGGCTTCAAAATCTGGCCTTCACTTTGTGGAGTAAGGCTGCTATGTGGAGATACTGTGTGCACTCAAGGATGTCTCTCTGTGGACTAGAAACATTTAAAGCTGGTATTGCAGTTCAAACTTGGTTTAGGTATTTTCATTTCTTAAGATTTGAAAAACCCAAAGATTGTACCACGTTACATGGTATAATTCCTTTGCAATTTTATATTGACTTTGCTATCAGGGCCAAGTCATATTACACATCTTTTCTGACCTCTTGAAGCAAACATGACCCCATTTTGAGATCAGGCATTACCATCATTGGGTGGCTTGCTGTATATTAAATTATACATATAAGTCAAGAACTTTGTTGCCCATAGTTTTCTCAAGTAGGTAACAATGAGAACAGACAGCCTTGCTGGCAAGCATCTCATTCCCAGAGATATACTGACCTAGTTTGCACCACAGAACAGCCCACCATGGGTTAATTTACCTGCATGAGTTGTTCTAGCATGTAGAATACCTATAGATACCATATCTCCCTGGCTTTTGGCTTGTCATATTTGAATGCAGACAGCTGTGGTTGATGGCTAAACAGCTATAATGCAACCCATGGTATTTTTCAAGGTTATTTGAGGGTTGTCTAACCTTCAACTAACCCTTACTACCTGGGTTTGCAGGTAAAGAAAGATTGGTGGTTTTGAATGTGTGAAGAGAGGATGTCTAGGTCACAACACATAAGAAGACCTGTTGTTTTGGCAACACTCTGAGACCTTTTGAAGACTTGTTGTTAACTTGGTCTCCTCTGAAGAGCACTCTACACCTGGTGCTCCTACAGTGTAGAACCAATAAGGATTGCATTGGTGGGGTGCCTTCTGGGTCCAAGGCATTTGGTAGCGCCACATCTTCTGACTTGGAAGCCAGGTCCAGGATGCCTCCTGCTTTATGAAGCTTCCTCATCCTCTGAATTCTTTCCTGAACCAGAATACATTTTAAAGAAGAGACAATTAGAAACTTGTATAATGATTTTTGCTTCTACTATGATGATTTTCATTTACTTTTAACATGACAGTCTTTATTACTTAGTTCTTCCAAAGCAGACACACAGAACAAGATCTGTAACTATTGTACAAATAAGTTAGCTTTACTTGGTTTCCCTTTAATCCATCAATATTCTTTTGACATCTTTATTATCTAGTGCATCCATTCCAACCTGGCCCCTTCTAGCTGATTTGGACTTTATCACCATGAATGGTTAGGAATTCTAGGAGTTATAATCTAAAGCACCTAGAGGACACCCTTGACTAGTTTCCTGCATCTGTTATATTTAAAGAAATCACTCCCTCAGATAGCAAACTCAATTGGTTCGTGCTGGCGGGATTGAAGCCAAAATAGGACCTTTAAGAACAAGTGGGAGAGTTCATCCTTAGTGGAACCTCAGTGGTTGTAGAAATAGGTAACTCCCCACCCCCTTCAGCCCAGTGAAGCCTGAGGCTTTTCAGTTACCATAGAATGGTATCTGGGTTTTAAAAAAAAAACCTGGGAAACTAGGGATGTGAGATGGAGTGCACTATCCTGGAAAATGGCTATTTGAAACCTTGGAAGCATTCCACAGTGCAACATTTTGTTGTAGATCTCACAACTGCTTATTTTATTAACTTCCATCATCTATTTTTCTCAAACTCATTCTTTTGTTCCCAATCACTTTACATTTGGTTTGCGAGAATTTGCACTCTTTATTTTAAAAAATCCTCTTATTTTTTGGAGCTTTCCTTTCAAGGATGAGTAAGACTATGCTGAATTGGTTGGCCATATACGTAACTTGATAATCTTGTGTATGTTGAATTTGTTAGTATTGTGCTCGCTTGTTTCTAAGGAGTTCTACAATGTTTGTATCTTCCCAGACACTACCTGGCAACAGTCATGGGTCATCTCTGCTTTTATAGGTTTCATATTTAGCTTTTCTAGTCACAATAAGACAATTAATCCTTAATATTATATAAGCAAAACCTAAAATTCTGGGGCACCCCCCACACTCTGACATTCCTTCAGTGAGCTTATGAAGGGGCATGCATAGGAGCAGGAAAAATCAACAAAAAGTGCCTCCTTCAACTTATATTTGTGGGAGCTACTTTGGATCAAAGGTGTTTCCACTCACAAAAAGGCACTTTAGAACCTAGGCTAGGGGTCCTCAAAATTTTTCACCAGGGGGCCAGTTGAAAGGTGCCGTTGCAGGGCGTGGGCCAGAATGGTGGTGCCAGCGTGGGGGGTGCGTGCAGCAAGGGGAGGCAAGGCAGGGACGGGCACGCGCCACAATGCAGCGGCTTGCTTGCTTGGAGATCGTTTTCTCCGAGTGAGTCCAAAACGATCTCCTCACGAGCAAGCTGCCACCTACCTGCACATGGCATGTTGAAAACCTCTGAGGCGGGCCAGATAAATGGCCATGGCGGGCCGGATGCAGCCCCTGGGCTGTAGTTTGAGGACCCATGACCTAGACTATTGCACCTAGAAATTTTGGCTCTGTGTTCTGATTTTAATTGTATGTATTCAGCTTGATGCTGGTTGAAGTCAGCGCTTAGTATTCTGTTTTAATTTTTCAGTTTCCTTACTAACTTGAATTAGTTTGGTATTTCAAGATCATCATCAAAGTTTTAGGTAGGAGAGTGATAGTATGCTGTCTTATTCTTTTTATCTGGTATCCTTAATCCATAGAGATTTTGTGAATAAGTTTATTTTTCTTCTTTTTTGTGCTCTTAGCATGAGGCATACACTGTACCTGGGATCATTTTTAAAAGTTCTGGCAAGATTGTTTTGTTATTTGTGCTGTTTCAATTTAATTACTAATAATGCAAAACAATGCCCTGTTTTCAAGGGCAGTTGTTATAAAGAGAAATTCTTAAGTTCATCAATGCGTAAACTATTCATCAATCACTAAATTAATTAATTAATTTATTATTAAGCTTGTATGCCATACCAATAGTCCCATAGAACTGTTTAGGCAATTTATAGCACAGTAAATAACACATATTATAATAGTTGTTGTATAAATAATTAAGTACAAACAATGAAATACTAATAATAACAAAATAAAAATAGCAATATACAATATAACAACAATGTAGCAGCACTATAACAGCTAAGTGTTAAAGCCTGATGAAATAAAACTAAATTAAAATTACACAAAAAATCATTTTTAAAAATTATATACAGTAAAGATCAGTTATTAAAATAGTACTTTTTACTATTGGTACTTTTTTTTTTTTGCCTCATGTCAAAAAGATTGCAATGAAGGCACCAGGCAAACTACTCTTGGAAGGCTATTCTACAGGTAGTGTACAACCACTGAATAGGCCCCTCTTCTATTTGTCATTCCCCTTACCTCCTTGGGGGACATATGGAAGAACATAAATGGCATGTTCCAAGAGTGATGGGTTTGTTCTTGGCTTATAAAATCTGGTTTTGCTTGAGAGCAATAAACCAGGAGCCTGGGTTTCAGTGTAATTCTAGACCATTTCTTGTTTGTTAGCCTATTTGTGCTAGCAGGATGAACAAAATGAGTGTGAATGGGCTAATTGTACCAGTTCCTAACTCATTCACAGTAAACCAGAGTTTGCAGAAATCCTGCTTACCATTATATGTAAAAGAAGTTTGTGCCAGCATTTACCTAAATTTGGATATGGGGGAAGTATTTAGCTATGTTAAAGAGTTTAATTTTCATTAGCATGATAAGTATGGGTTTAAAGCACATGGTTAACCTAAATGTTTCTTTTAGGTACAGTGGTACCTCGGTTCACAAACGCTTCTGTTCATGACCACTTCGGTTTGTGAACAGAAATGTTGGCAAAATTTTGCCTCCGTTCGCAAACTCTGCATCAGGTGACTACGCTTGTGGCTGTGTTCCTGCATGAACACAATTGCGGCAATCTTCCCCCCATGAACACTCCAAACAAGAAACTTCTCCCCACACACCACGAAGGGGGGCCATGAGGTCATGCTCACCTCGGTCGAGGCCTTTCCGGCTCCTCCTGCCGTCCTGCTTCCGAGCTGGAGGAAGGTTCTCCTCACAGGCGCAGCTCCGGGAGGGAGAGCAGGAGTTGGAGGCTGGAGAAGCAGGAGTGGGACAGCTCCCTGGGCTGAGAGAGGGCCGCGAGGAGGGAGGTAAGGGCTGCTTTCTGCAGGCCTAGGCAAGGAATAGGGCCGCGGCCGGCCAAGTGGGGCGCCTCCTGCCTCTCCCCGCCACGGAGGGAAGAAGCATTTATTTATTTATTTATTTATTTATTTATTTATTTATTTAAAACATTTCTATGCCGCCCCCATCTCAACAAAGCCCCGGGGCGACTCACAAAGGATACATAAATACATAAATAATAACAATATAACAATTTAAAAAATTGTTTAAAACCCCCCGGTGCATTCTCGGCTACAAATTTAAAATCCTATTAATTCAAATAATTTAACAATTAAAATAAGTTTTAAATAAAAAGGTCTTAGCCTGGTGCCGAAAAACAAATAACGACAGCGCCAGGCGGACCTCTCTGGGGAGCGCATTCCATAGATGGGGCGCCACCACAGAGAAAGCCCTCCTCTGGGTACTCGCCCTCCTCCCGGTACTCACCCTCCTAATATCATTCACAGAGGGTTCCCGGGGAAGGGCATCTGTTGCCGATCTCAAGGGGCGGGAGGGCATATATGGACGTGAGTGTTCCTTTAGATATCCAGGTCCCAAGCTGTTTAGGGCTTTATAGGTAATAACCAACACCTTGAATTGGGCCCGGACTTCAATCAGGAGCCAGTGGAGCTGACAGAGAACTGGGGTTATATGAGAACAACGCCCAGTCCCCGTCAGCAACCTGGCCGCTCTATTCTGCACCAATTGAAGTATCTGGACCGTCTTCAAGGGTAGCCCCACGTAGAGCGTGTTACAGAAATCTAATTGGGAAGTTACCAGCACGTGTGTCACTGTCGCCAGGCAGTCGTTCTCCAGGAAGGGACGCAGCTGATGTATCAGCCGAAGCTGAAGGAAGGCGCTCCTCACCACTGCCATCACCTGAGCTTCTAGAGACGGCTCAGGGTCGAGGAGCACTCCTAAGCTGCGAACCCTGTCCCTCAGAGGGAGTGCAACCCCATTTAGGACAAGGCCCAAGTCCCCCATCCCGAGGCCCAAGCCACCCACCAACAGGACCTGCATCTTGTCTGGATTGAGCTTCAGTTTATTGGCCCTCATCCAGCCCATTACCTCGGCCAGGCACCGGTTCAGCACAGCCACTGCCTCACCTGGATTGGTGGAAAACGAGAGGTAGAGCTGGGTATCATCAGCGTACTGATGATTCTGCAGCCCGCACCTCCTGATGACCTCTCCCAGCGGTTTCATGTAGACGTTAAATAGCAAAGGGGACAAAATGGACCCCTGCAGAACTCCCTGGCATAACTGCCATGGCGCAGAGCCATAGTCCCCCAGCACCACCCTCTGAAATCGGCCATTGAGATAGGAGCGGAACCACAGCCACGTGGTGCCTCCAACTCCCAATCCCGCTAGCCTGTTCAGAAGGATACCTATTCAGAAGCATGGTGGCCACTCGGCAGCAGCGGCTTACCCTTAGACGGCTGCAGCGGAGGTGTGGGAGCCATGGCCCCGCTCCGCCTCGGCCCATCCACCCCCAGGCTCAGCAAGGTGGTCGCGGCTTGGCCCACAGCTGGGGACATGGCTCATATTTTTGTGGTTTTAAAAAAATGTTTATTTATTGATTTATTTAAAACTTTTATTTGCTGTACTTAACCATAAATTTATAGTTCAGAATGGATTAACCTTATTTACATAGAACCTTATGGGGAAATTTGACTTGGTTCGCAACCAATTCAGTTCGCGACCAAAATTGTGGAACAAATTAAGTTTGTGAACTGAGGTACCACTGTATTCTTCACAGTTGCTTGTGATTTTCCTGTTTTTATTGTAATCAGCATTATTCTGCAGTAATGTATTTTATTCTTTGATTTCAAACGTTGCAATTACTAAAGAGCAGTGGTTTATAGTCCATTGCGATAGTATGTATTGCTGTTCAAAATTTAGCATGCTTCAAAAAGCCCTTCAACTAGGTTGATTTGATCTCAATTAGTTTTACTTAGAGGTTGGTTTACACTCCCCAAGGGCCAGTCTAACAATTTCTCATAGTATATTAAAATGAGAAAGAGTTTCAGGCCCATATACTTCCTCTTTCCCTCCTCACTTTGCATTCCTAGTAAGTTTAAACCACAATTTCCCATTACAGTGTAGCTGAGAAACTGGTTTGAAGGAGGACTCTGTGGTCCAATGCTTATACTATAGTAAACTGTAGTTTATTAAGCTGAAATTGTTACTTCTCAACCAGACCTGAAAAAGAAGTTTAGGAGAATGAACCAAAGTTGCATTTTCTCCTTCATTTTACAGAAACTTGTACTTAGAGATCAACATATACAACACTGAGAGCCAGTGTAATGGTTAAGAACTAGCTCTTAGGCAGTCTGGGTTCTAGTCTCCACTCAGTCATAGAGCTCACATGAATGACTTTGGGCATGTTACACACTCAGTCCTAACTACTCTCAGGGTACTTCTGAGAGGAGGAGCAGAATTACGTAAAGTGCCTTTAGTTCCTTTTAAGGAGAAGGTGGGACATAAATATAATAAATGAAACATAATAATAAAATTCCAGGTCCAGGGCTGAACAATAAAATATAAATATTTGAGACCTTCAGTATGGTTCACATTTGTCATTCCCAGTTTAGCCTTTTTCCTGGATTGGATGCAGAGGTTCTCTTCTGCAAATGAGACTGCTGTTGTGTGCAGAGGGCATCTCTTACAAAAGATCTTCTACAACAACAGATAATGTCTTCCTGTTAGCTCTTACTTAACAATTCATGGAAAAGCACAACCACCAGAATTTCTTCCCCTGACTAGTACATCACTTGTTGCTAATTGCCTGTTTCTTTTTATGTGAGTAGTGATTTCTTTGTTGGTGATTTTTATTAAAGAAGCAATGTATAGTCAAAGAGAAAGAAATTTGGAAACTCCTGTTCTACCCTATACTAAGAAATGTTTCATACCCAGAGCATACTGTTTTCATTATACTGTGTCCGAACTGTTTAACCTATAATCTATTCTTCTTCTTCACGTTCTGTGCAAAGCACATCGGGCTACAAGTGCTCGATCTGCAGCAACCATTTCTTTATCCTTCCATTCAAGGTTGACACTTAGGTCTTTTTGGAGTGTTTGACACCAGGTTCTTTTTTGTCTTCCTCTCCTCCTCCCACTATCTAGTGGTATCCAGTTAATCGCTAGCTTAGCAAGATGTTGTTTACTCATGAGAAGCGCATGTCCAGCAAAACACATTCTTCATTCTGTTATCAATCCAGAGTCTTCCGGTACATCTTTGTAGTACTTCCTTATTTGTAATATGATCCCAGTATGTGATACGTAATAACTTTCTAAGGCAATGTTGCTGAAAGACATTGATCTTCTGGGTAATTTCTGTTGTAAACTTCTAAGTCTCACTGGCATAGGTGGCAATTGGTAGAACAATGGCATTAAATTATCTGCACTTACTTGTAATACCTACAGTGGATGTGTTCCAGACTGAGCTCATTTGGAAAATGGCAGTTGTTTTGCCTCTCTGGCATTTTGCATCTGCTTCTGTCTCCCCCCCGCCCCCATTTGCATCCATAATACAATAATCCCTAATACACGATCCAAATGTATGTATATACTTATTTGTATATTTAGGGGGAATAAACAGCACCAGCATTTTCTGAATTCAAGGCTGTAGGCAGCTTTGTCTTTTGCTATCATTTGATATTGCTATCATTTGATATTGTTCCCTTAGCTGAACATTGAACCACCAGAGGATCCTGAAGAAAGTTTGAGATTACAGCAGTTGCAGGCCGCTGCAACACAATGGCAGCAACATCCACAGCAGCGAGTAGGTTTCCAGTATCAGAGAATAATGCAGAAGCACTCACAGTTACAACAAATGCTACAACGCTATCAACAGATTATACAGCAGCCACCACATTTGCCAGTAAGTTATTAAAAGGAGGGTTTAAGTAATAGCTTCTTCTGTTGGAATAAAATGGTCATGCTGCTCTAATGAGCATTGTTTAATAGATCTTTATAGTGGTCTCATTTATCTGCCCACCTAGTCAATGTTAACTTCTTGTTCTTTTCTTCAGAAGTTAAGTTTTAGTGTTATAGCAAGTTTTGTTATGGGAGCAGCTTGTTTTTGAGAAGAATCTAAACATAATTTGTTTACTAATGTCATAATCTGAGTTAAATTGTGTAGATAGATTTCTTGCACGTTTCAGTGTCATACAATAGGTTTAGGACCAAAACATGCATTAATTTTATATTGGTAAGGATAGATATTTTGTGGCTGTGAATGTAATTTTAAAAAGGAATATCAAGTTCCGAGACTCCCATGTATGATTTTTCTTATATATTTACAATTTTACTATATCGGGAAAATGTGAATGTTTCATTCAAGCTTTATAGGTCAGTGTGTTGCAATTATAACATGTTAGAGAAATTTTAACTTGCAAAACATTGTGACTGTAGATGATGGTTCTACAAGAAACTAGCTTACACTCTTTCCATTATTATTTTCTTGTTCTGGCAGACAATGTCAGTGGAGATGCAACTACAGCATTATGAGAATCAGAATAAACAATTCCAGCCTCTTTACAAAGAGTGGGAACGTGAATTTCAGCAGTGGCAAGATCAAATTCAGGCCTACCCTCACAAAGACCAGCTTCATGAGTGTGAGAAACAGTGGAAGATGTGGCAGGGACAGATGAAAGCCACTCATACTCACCTTCAGGAAAAAGTGAAATCGCTCCGAAACATGAACAATCAATATACTGGGAATGTACCTTTGCCACCCCAGTTTTCTTCATATTCTCAAACAATGCAAAGCGGTATGCCCATTGCACCGTCGACTTTGCCCTCAGCTACCCTTCCCCCAGCATGCACTGGATTCTCTTCAGGTCCTCAGACATCTGAAATACCTGTTGCAAAAGAATCTACTCAGAGTACCCAGGGCACTGAAACAAGGCCAGTTATGTTTCCTGCACCTAGTTCTTTTAAATTTAAAATTAGTGAGTCACTTCCCACTTCCCAAACCACGGAGATGGCTAGGCCAGCTCTACTTCCTACCCCTACCTCTTTTGCATACAAACCACCTGAGTCTTCTGCCACCTCCCAGACCATGGAGACAACTAGGCCAGCTCTATTTCCTACTCCTGGTTCTTTTATGTTTAATGCTACTGAGTCACTTCCTACTTCCCAGACTACAGAGATGGCCAGGCCAGGTCTGCTGCCTACCCCTACCTCTATATCTTTTGCATTTAAAGCAACAGAGGCTTCTGCCACTTCACAAACCATGGAGACAGCCAGGCCAGCTCTGCTTCCTACCCCTACTCATTTTTCTTACAAAAGTACTGATTCTTCTATCACCTCTCAGGCCACTGAGACAACCAGACCTGCCCTGCTTCCTACTCCTACTTCTATCTCTTCCTTTTCATTTAAAGTTAATGATTCGGGTCCCAGTTCCCAGGCCACTGAGCCAACTAGACCAGCTCTTCTTCCCACCCCTTCCCCTGCTTTTTCTTATAAAAATATTGATACATCTGCCACTTTGCCTTATCATTCAAATATGAGTTCATCTACTAGCTCTTCCGACCAAGGCAGTTCTTATGTACCTTTGGGCAAGCAGGCAATGCCATTTGGCGCTCTCTCATCTGAATTAACTTCTGCTGAAATGAAATCCCATTCTGCAGTGTCCTCATCATCTGCATCTTCCACCATCACCACCAGTACTACCACCTATCAGAACAGAGTGGTGAGGCCAGCTGGGTTTCCTGATTCGACCAGAGGATCCTACTATGAAGGCCCAAGAGGCCCAAGGTAGGCTTTCTCTCTCTCATGTTTGGATGTAACTTTGTAGTAGAAAGACCTTTAAATTAGAGATGCTAGATTAGAGTTATTTGTTTTTAACTGAATACCTATTGTACATATGGAACATTTATTAAAGTAATGCATGCATACATTTTGGCCACTAAGATGACACTGCTCATTTGCCTAGCATGTATTTCTAGTCCTGAGGATGCGTGTATGTATTCTGCCTGGTGCTTATGAGAGTTATTTCTGTGTTTTAGTAGGGATGCATCCTTAATACATTTCTGCTTGCTAATGAAACATGCTAAATATTTTGTAACATTTTTTTCCAATTTATATCCTGCCTTTTTCCGACAAAGGGCTCAAGGCAGCTTACATCATTCTCCTCCTCCATCTTATCCCCACAACAACAACTCTGTGAGGTAGGTTGGGCTGAGAGTCTGTGACTGGCCCAAAGTCACCCAGTTGGCTCCATGGCTGAGTGGGGAGTAGAGCCCAGATCGTCTGAGTCCCCGTCCCATGCTCTTAACCACTACACCACACTGGCTCTCATGTGGTTGGTTTTGTTTTGAAGTTTGATACAAAAATCTAATTGGAATTCATGGTGAATAATTTCTTCAAAGATTTATAAACATATGCTTATTTCCCCATATTGAAGGTTCAGCTTATATTTGTGAATAGCTCACAGGTTAGAATTCTTACATGAGGAAGTTCAGAATCTCAGGCCAGAAGTACTCATTTTGTGAGAAGCCCAAATATGGAAACATGGTCTCCACTAAATAGCTGCATCATGGTTGGGTGAGGGAGCTGTTTGCATATGAGAGTCTGTAGGCAGCATCTTCTTAATAATTCTCTCTCCGGCCACCTCATCTGCTGTTTCCCTCTGCTTTCCCTAACCGCCTTCCCATACAGGGCAACAAACATACATACTGGGGAAAGGTGGCTGAACGGGCAAAGATATGAGAGTGGAAAAGTTGTAATTGTGGAAATAGTTAACATCCCCCACCCAGATTCTACATTGCAGCTATTTACTGGTTCCCAGCCTTGTGTTAGCTTTCAAAAGTGTTATTTTGGTGTGAATAGACTACAGTAATAGTCTAATTCTGTTATTGTTCCTGTCGTTTTACCCAAAATTTTTAGTTAATATAGTTAAAAAATGTAATAGTTAAAAAGGAGGTATCTAATACCCCCAAATCCTATAAGTGGCTACCTAAGTAAATGTTCCTTTACTGCTCACTGACAAAGCAACAGAAATGCTTGTTCTGCAGGTGTCTTGTTTACATGAAAAGAGATTAAAAGAAAGGTCAAGGTTTTATCTTTTAAATTATTATTATTGGATTTTTGTTAATTGCATCACATTTATATCCTGCCTTTCTTCTTCTTGCAAAGAAGCCAAGACAGCCTTACAAGGTTCTCCTCCTCTCCATTTTATCCTCACAGCAAGGGACCCATAAACTAAATTAAGCAGACAGTCCATAATTTACCCAAAATTTGAGCTTCATGGCTGAATGGGGTGGAACTCAGATCTCCCTCACTATAGCACTTCATGTTTCTACTTCTTCTTATGAAGCTTTGTTTTATTGTATGTAAAAATGTAAAATTGTATGCTGTCCATCTCAGTCTTATGTACCATTCAGGGTAGCTAACAACAATGAAGATCAGTAATAAAATATGACAGAACCCAGAAAGTGTGTGTGTGTGTGAACACGTGCATGCAAAAAAAAACCCCACACAGACAAATACAGCAGATAAAACAGAAAATGGATAAGCATTAGTTCAAACAAATGTCTGCTTAAGCTGGAAGCATTTTCCCATACAGTGAAACATCATAAGAGTTGGTGCCAAATAAGCCTCTTGGGCTGAATAGTTCTGCAATTTAGATTCAGCCAAAGAGAAGCTCCTTTTCCTTTTTGCTTGTCAACATAGTTGGAACATAGAGAAAGGTTTCTCTGTCATAACTTCAGGTTCAGGCAGGCTGGTATTGAATTACATAGTCCTTAAGGTTTCCTGGACCTTATCCATCAACATTTTGGATTGTGACTGGAAACCACTTTGATAACCAGTACAGCTCTTGCAGATAGGTGTAATGTGATCCCATATATAAGCATCTGCAAGCACTCTTACTGCAGCATTCTGACCCAACTGAAGTCTCTGAAGGTTCTTCAAAGGTAGCCTCATATAGAGCACATTATAGGAACCTGGTTAGCATCTAGTTAAATATTGAAAGTATTGTTTAAATCTTTAATTCATTGCATTATAGGAGGCAAACTTTTAGCTTTCCAGTATTGTAGTATCAGTCTTTTACGCGTAGCTAGCAAAATGGTACAGAAAATCAGGAAAATTTAATTTCCAAGGAACATGTAGATAAATTGAAAGAACATATTAAAGAGTGTTATAATACAAATTTCCACTTAAAGGCAACTACTGCAACCTGCTAAAGATATGATTAGAAGAAGTATTAGCATAATCAATATTGCACCTCCAGCAATTAGTCAACTTAGACAAACCTGTATTAACAAGGCATTGTAGCATCTAATACATGTGGAACACATGTTTCTGTTGAGTAAGACATTAGCTGAAGTCCATGGATATTTACTGAAAAGTAGCAATCCTCTGTTTACACCAAATTGGGCATTTCAATTCTCTATTCCATTGTTCCATTAGACTTAATATATCATATATATTTATCAATAGTATATTTACAGGCATGGAGTATGGGTCAATATAACTGATCAGCAGCCTCAGTAAGTATTTCCAATAACTGAGGAAACTGGGAATCTAGGTCAAACCTAGATTCTAGCAAATGTTGCACTCCTAAGTATTGCCACTCAGCAGTCATGTTTGACACACAGATCAGAACTCATTTCTTTCCCCCACAAATTGATCCAAAGTAAATATAACCTTACTCATCTAGGTCTGCCACAAAAACTTGTTTTTACAAATTTTAAAGTCCAGATTTTGCCATGAAGTCAATTTAGAATGTGAAAATAAGTTAACCTGTAATGGACACTATTGTCCAGCACACCTCTTAAGCAGTCTGAACAGTAGGAAGAATCCTGTCTTGTTTTAATATGCCAGGAACCTAATGCCATACACTTGAACACAGGGTCCAGACAGGACCATGGTGGAAAATCTAATTTAGACAGATAAGATGAGAATTTAGTACATGACAGGAAATTGCCCTGATGGTTAACAAGGGACCCCAAAAGCCCCATTTTCGAAGATATTTGTGGTGGAAAAGGAACCACATATTAAAAGCTTTTCTATCCCATTACCTACAGAACATCTTGGGATTGCTTACAATAAATAAGTAGAAGAAAACAAACCCCACAGCATCCAACCATTAATATACTAAAACCCCAGTTAAAATCAATTAAACATTGAAATAGCAGGAAAATAAAAAGGGATTTGCCTGCTGCCGAAAAGGATATAATGTCGGCAACAGGCAAACATCTTTGGGGAGTGTATTCCATAGTCGGGGCACCACCACAGAGAAGGCCCTCCTCTGGGTACTCTCCCCCCTAATCTCCTTCACGGAGGGTGCCTAGGGAGGATCTCTGCCTCAGATCTCAAGGGGCAAGAGGTCACATAAGGAAGAAGGCGCTCCTTCAGATATCCTGGACCCAAGCCATTTAGGGCTTTTGGGTCATAACCAGCACCTTAAATTGGGCCAGGACTTCAATTAGTAGCCAGTGTAACCGGTAGAGGACTGGTGTTATATGTGAAAACTGGCCAGTCCCCATTAACATCCTGGCAGTTCTATATATCTCTAAGAATGAGTATTCTAAAGCAAGTAATAGATTCTGGGCACCATCAAAAGTGCCAGTTGGCAAAATTCTGTGAGAAATAGTATCTTCAATTGGTATCAGTTGGAACTGAATAAACAGGACAGTTTATCCAATGTATTGCTCAACTGCTTCAAAGCAGGAATGGACACCTGGAGTTGCAAAATAAACAGTAACCAGTTATCTGTTAAAGGATAATTTTACATTCTAAAAAATATTTTTTCAATGACACATAAATAAATTTCCAGTCAATTTTGACAAAGTCTTTTCTAGCATCAAAAGAAACAATGGTAGCCTGCTCTGTTCATCAGAGTTTAACACAATTAACAAGTAATCAAAGGTCTGTATTTACCAAATCCCACCTGATCTGGTCAAACCAGTGTTTGTTTGTTTGTTTGTTTGTTTGTTAAAAGCTTTTGTATGCCATCCTATTACACAAGATCTCAGGACGGCTTACAATGAATGTGATAAGGTGCAGCAGTTCATTGGTGAAAATTGCACTCATTGTTTTAATATCAACATTAACTAAAGATGTGACTCAATAAAATAACTGTGATCCTTACTGGGTTGGTGCATCATTTAATCATGTGGAAAGTGAGCCCAATTCAAAAATACAGGAACACTAACCAAGTAGATTTACAACTAAGGAGCTAGAAATGGTTTTATACCACTCAGTTGGAAATTTGTCTGGACCGCATGATTTTTCAATACTGGTATTCATAATTTTCTTTATAATTTCCTCTACCCATACCAGAACTGAAATAAACTGTTGTTGTGAGGAACCTATGCATGGAAGAGGAATCTAGGAGAAAATGCATCCATATCATGCTCTGATATTACTACCTGCATTGCATAAATCCAAATAAAAATAAATAACTTTATTTATTCATTTTTTTATTTAACTTGTGTCCCACCCAACAGCTGAAGCCCTTTGGGCAATTTACAACAATCCATTAAAACACAATCTGAAATGCACCACAGTATAAAAACATTGAGGAAGAATTTTCCATACAAAACATTCACACCAAATTTAAAACACATAAAATCCCAATAATATATTGGAATTAATTTTTGCTGGAGAGGTGTATATTCTGTCATTCTCATCTTTATTTACAGATTTACAGATAAATTTACATTTCAGTGTTAATGATGTTTAAGGCAGTATACTAGAATTCTCTGTGATGTTTCCCATTCTCATAACAAGGTTAAAGCATTGCCCTAAGCTGAGCAATGGCAATTTTGGTTACAACTAACACAACCCTAGTGGGCTTATAGGGTTGCTAGGAAAATTTTATATCTATTATTTGAATAAAATGCAATTGTCTAACACACAGGTTTGATGGACCACGAGGAAGAGGCTTTGAAAGATTCGAACCTCCAAGACAGAGAGGCCCTCATTTCCACGGTCAACGTCTAGAAGGTCCAAGGCCAAGGCTTCAAAATCAGCACATGGATGGATCGTCAGGCAAGCAGGGAACAATCCCTCGAGGGCCAGCAGCAGCATTTTATACCCTCTCAGGTGCACCACAAATGCAGTCTTCCCAGGGAAGTGGACCACGGTGGCGGGGGCCTAGAGCCTCTCTGGGACAACAGAACCATCAATCAGAAACTAAAGAACCTTTTGCTGATATGGCCAGCAGCCAGGCTGTGGCAAATAAATCTAAGTTTACACCAGATACTAAACTTCCTTGCCCAGTTCAGTCAGATAAGAGCCTGCCTAAAGCACAGCAAAATATGCCCCGAAAAGAGGGCAGAGAGGTAGTATCAGAAGTGAAGAAACAGAGTTCCACTGAGTCTGTGTTGCAGACAGAAGCATCAAAAACATCCGCTCATACTACAGCTGGTCTACATCAGACACCAGTTTCCTCTCTTCTTCCAAAACCAGGAGTGAAGAAAGCATTACTACCTTCACCCATAATAGGAAATAAAGACTTGAATTCTACAGAAAATAAATTGGCCTCTTCAGAAAATAACCAGATCAAGGAACCATCTAAATTAGAGAGCAGGGAGAGGGGGCCAATTAAGCCAGGAGATAATCAAGCAAAAGGACCGGCTGGCAGAGGCAGGGGCCAAGGTAGAATGGAAGACACCAGAGGCAGAGGTCGGGGCCGACTGGATGATGTCAGAGGGCGGGGAATTCCAAATAGAGGTAGAGGTCAAACCAGAGATATAACTGGCAGAGATGTAACCTGTGGGCCAGGAATCCATGACAAACTGCCAGAGGGTCAGGGAGGCATCTGGGAAACTGGGATGAGTGGTCAGTCAGGCAGCCAGGAAAGGGCATTGGGTAGACGTTCAAGCAGCCAAGAAAGAGGGGTACCAGGTCCTCGCATGGGCAGCAGAGAGAGAGGCCGTGCAAGTAGTCGAGAAAGAAGCACAATCAGGCACCCCAACAGTCAGGAGAGGGGACTGGATCGGCAGGTCAGTAACCGGGACAGGGGCCCAGGTCGTCGAGCTAGCAGCCGAGAGAGGGGCCCAGATCGACGCCCTGGTAGCCGGGAGAGAGACCAAGTCAGGAGACCTAGCAGCCGGGAGAGAGACCTACACAGGCGTGATGCAGGTCTTGGAGGTGATATTGAAAATTTACCTTCATTTCATGAAGAACCACTCAGACAGCAATGGACTTATGAAGAGGGAGGACTAGAAGAGGGACATTCATATGAATACAGAGATATTCCTCCTCTGGAACGCAGACGACTGGAGGATTGGGAAAGAGACCGATACTGGCTTGAGCCTGATGAACCATATCATGATGATTCTCTTGATCCATATGAGAGAGATGACTTGTTGCCACACCGTCACCCATTACCACCCCTTTCACCTCTGCCCCCTTTGCCTCCTTTACCTCCCTTGTCTGCAGATATTGATAGACGAGAACCATTTTGGGATGACTGGGAAAGGCCAGTGGGTAGAGAAAGGGAGATTGACAGAGACCTGGATCGAATCAGAAGACCCTTGGATGTATATGATCATGAATTAGAAAGAGACTGGGACAGAGAATACATAAGACCACTGGGGGATAGGGATACATTAAGTTGTGATCGGGACATACCTCCTCTTCCACCTTTGCCTCCCCTTCCTCCTCTTCCTCCTTTAGACAGATACCGTGAAGATCGATGGCTGGAAGAGAGAGAAAGAGAAAGAGATTTCTATGACAGAGATTCTAGAGATAGGGGGGAGCTCAGAATTCGAGAGTATCCCGAAAGATGTAATACATGGAGGGAGCAGTCTGATTTCCCACCTGACAGGGGTGATTGGGAGAGAGAGAGGTTTTCGGATAGGTGGTTTTCAGATGAAATGGACAGATTTTCACCTTTAGAGGATCGTCTGGATCCACCACCCCTACCACCACGTTCATCTGAATTGCTGGATGAAGAGCCAAACCTAGCCTCCGACCAATCTCTAGGAGGAGTAATGGTCCTTAGTCAAAGGCAGCATGAAATTATCTTGAAGGCAGCTCAAGAGCTAAAAATGCTACGGTGAGTAGGCTGTTCTTATTCATTTTCTTTAGAAAATTGTTACTTTTTATTTCATCCCCAGCTCCTCCTTTGCACCTTGTATAATGGTGCCATTTAGGAATTTTGGCCACCTTGGATGTAAGAACAGGGTTAGGAATGCAAGTTTGTATCAAGGAGGATCACTGAGATAAACTCTGTTTTAAACCAGTGTTGTGCGAAGTCTTGTCCAACCCTTTGCAACCCCATGGACAACATTCCTCCAGGCCTTCCTGTCCTCCACCATCCCCTGGAGTCCACTTAACCTCACACCAGCTGCTTCAGTGACTCCATCAAGCTACCTCATCCTCTGCCATCCCCTTCTTCTTTTGCCATCTTTGTTCCCAGTATTAGGTTCTTCTCCAGGAGTCCTTCCTTCTCATTAGGTGGCCAAAGTATTTGAGTTTCATCTTCAGTATCTGGCCTTCTAAAGAGCAGTCAGGGTTGATCTCCTCTAGGACTGAACAGTTTGATCGCCTTGCAGTCCAAGGGACTCACAGGAGTCTCCTCCAGCACCACAATTCAAAGGCCTCAATTCTTCGGCGCTCAGCCTTCCTTATGGTCCAGCTTTCACAGCCATACATTGCAACTGGCAAAACCATAGCCTTGACTATACGCACTTTTGTTGGCAGGGTGATGTCTCTGCTTTTTAGTATGCTGTCTGGATTTGCCATAGCTCTTCTCCCCAGGAGCAAGCGTTTTTTAATTTCTTGGCAGCAGTCCCCGTCTGCGGTGATCTTGGAGCTCAGGAAAATAAAATCTGTCACTGCCTCCATTTCTTCCCCATCTATTTGCCAGGAAGTGAGAGGACCGGATGTCATGATCTTAGTTTTCTTGATCTTAGTTTTCTTGAGTTTCAAGCCAACTTTTGCACTCTCCTTCTTTACCCGCATCAAGAGGCTTTTTAGTTCCTCTTCACTTTCTGCCATTAGAGTGGTATCATCTGCATATCTGAGGTTGTTGATATTTCTCCCAGCAATCTTAATTCCAACTGGTGATTCATCTAGCCCCCGCCTTTCTCATGATGTGTTCTGCATATAAGTTAAATAGGCAGGGTGACAGTATACAGCCTTGCCAAACTCCTTTCTCAATTTTGAACCAATCAGTGGTTCCATGTCCAGTTCTCACTGTTGCTTTGTGACCTGCATATAGGTTGCTCAAGGTTTGTCAATAAGCTGGTCTGGTACTCCCATCTCTTTAAGAACTTGCCCCATTTGTTGTGATCCACACAATCAAAGGCTTTAGCATAGTCGATGAAGCAGAAGTAGATGTTTTTCTGGAACTCCCTCGCTTTCTCCATGATCCAGCATATGTTGGCAATTTGATCTCTAGTTCCTCTTCCTCTTCGAAATCCTGCCTGTACTTCTGGTAGTTCTCAGTCCACATACTGCTGGAGCCTAGCTTGTAGAATTTTGAGTATAACTTTGCTAGCATGTGAAAGGAGAGCAATGGTATGGTAGTTTGAACATTCTTTGGCATTCCCCTCTTTGGGATGGTAATGTAATGCCTGTTATTCCACTTATCTTTTGTCTTCCTGCTTTAGCATTCCAGTCCCCCATGATGACAAGGACATCATTTTTGGTGTTAATTCTAGAAGGTGTTGTAGGCCTTCACAGAACCGGTCAACTTCAGCCTCTTCAGCACCAGTGGTTGGGGCATAGACTTGGACTACTGTGATGTTGAATGGTTTTCCTTGGATTCGAACTGAGATCATTCTGTCGTTTTGGAGATTGTATCCCAGTACTGCTTTTCCTACTCTTTTATTGACTATGAAGACTACTCCATTTCTTCTGAGGGATTCTTGCCTGCAGTGGTATACCTGATGGTCATCTGAATTAAATTCCCCCATTCCTGTCCATTTTAGTTCACTGATTCCTAAGATGTCGATGTTCATTCTTGTAATCTCTTGTTTGACCATGTCCAGCTTACCTAGATTCATGGATCTTACATTCCAGGATCCTATGGAGTATAGATCTTTGCAGCATCAGACTTTCCTTTCACCACCAGATACATTCGCAACTGAGTGTCCTTTCAGCTTTGACCCAGTCGCTTCATTTTTTCTGGCGCTACTAGTACTAGCCCTGTGCTCTTCTCCAGTAGCATATTGGACACCTTCCGACCTGAGGGGCTCATCTTCCAGCATCGTATCTTTTTGCCTTTTGGTACAGTCCATGAGGTTTTCTTTTTTTTAACAAAATTTTATTAAAATTTTAAACTACTACTGAAAACATCAGTACTCAGACATCGGACTTACTGGGTCAGCCCCCTACTACATATCTTTTAACGTTCCATAATCATATTCAAATCCATTTATAATAACTTGAAGACATCTTTAGATCAAAACCAAGTCCTGTTTCTCCAGCCAATAAGAAAAAAAAGCAATTCCGAATTTGATAGAAGTCACTATCTTCCTTCTCCTTCATCCGTAAAATCAGTCCATCCATTTCTTGCAAAGTCCTGTTTCTCTTAACCAATATTAAAGGTAAGAATCTCCAAGTTGGATGAAAGTCAGTATCTTCTTTCTTCTTCACTAGAATAAGTGAAGAATAAGTAAGATTAATAAGTTCAATCTAAACAATTTCTAGACAATTCAAAACCTTTTCATTTTTCTAATAGTGGACAAATAGATTCCTCACTACCACAGTTACAAATAAAGTGAGAAACATCCATTTAACATCTTTAAAGACATCTTAGCTAATCTATTTGGTGGCAGCTAATACCTATAATATCTTTTAAACTGGCTTTCTTTAAGCTAAGTTACTAATGTTTCATCTACCTTAAACATCAGCTAATCATATACAATTAACTCCTTACGAGAGCTCAACTCTTTACCATCTTTAAGGTATCTCACTTATATCCATCCCTTTTATCACCAGCAATAGTAGCTTAGCCTTTCTATATCACATATGAACATGCCCAACCTATTTGAATCATCCCTTTTTAAAATAAAAAGAAAACATTCTCTTATTTTTTCCTTATACTTCTGCCCAACCTTTCTTCTTCCTTTATTTTAAATCGTTGTAGTGCCTGTAATAAATCATTATACATCTTCAATTGTACACCTCTGTCCAACCTTTCTTCCTCCTTTGTTTTAAATCATTGTAGTGCCTGTAGTAAATCGTTATACATCTTCAGTTGTAGTGCCTGCAGTCCAATAAACAAAGTTCCTTCTGCTAATAGCCACATAAACATAGGTTCTCTTAAATACTTAGCTGTCTTCTCCTTTTCCAACATGACGAGCAGGTCCCATGAAAGCTTGCTTTATTGGCTTTACTGATTGTGTTGCTTTATCCACTATTTTGAATTTTCCATCTGCTTGTTGCTTTTTTACAAGCAAATCCCATAGTAGCTTGTTTGTTAGTTTTTCTGATTTTATTTCTTTGTTCACCATTTCAGATTTTCCATCTATTTGTTGCATATTTTGTATATTCTGCTCAAATTCGGATTTCCTTTCCAGGGCTTCATTAATGGAACTGTCTAATTTATCGAAATTTTCTTTTTGTTCAGTTAAAAAAAGATCAAATTGTCCAATTAAAATGGTCTCCTGCTGTATTAGTATCGCCTGTAGGGATGATTGCAAAGCTGTGAAAGAAGTCTGTATTGCTGAGAGTGTCTTCTGTAATTCTTCCATATTAATAACAATTTTTGCCAAAAATTACAAAACAGCAACAAAAAAAAGAAGAAAGAAGAAGATAAAGGGAAAGGATATAAAAATAAGTATATTTACTATAAGTCCAGATCCAGAGTGGCCATAAAAATAAATTTTCAGCTTTCTTTTTAATCTAATTCACTTAAGAACAAAGGCTTGGCAAGTATCCAAATAGTTTGGCAGAGGTCCCAAAGACAAAAAGAAAAATGGCCACTTCTACAGGTAAATTATATCCTTCAGTCAGTTCTTGGCAAAAGTCCAACATACAAGAAAGATCCTTCTATCATTCAATTCCACAGTAATTATTTCTTTTAATTCTTCGCCCTTGGAGAGATTAGAGAAAAGAAAAAACCCTCTTCTTATTTACATAAAGGTCTCCATCTCTCTCACTTCATTTTAGACGCTGCTTGAAAATCCATGGGGGGGGGGAGTCCTTCCTCCATCCAAAGGGCTTTTCTTTTTTCTTCCTTATGCCAATTAGCAACAGATACAGCTTTTCCACAGGTACTATTGTAAAAGAAAGAGATAAAAATGTCTTTTCCCAGTAAATCCGACGAACTTCTAGGTAAGTTACTAAACTAAAAGTCGGATGTCGAGGACTTGTGTGGGGGGTAACCCCCCTGTGCTGTCCAGTTGAGAAATGCCTGATTTTCTCCCAGTAGATGTGGGGTTGCCACCACTGTCTAGGAGATTCCCCAGGCACTCTATCTTCGCCCCAACAGGGCTTAGATTAGCCTCCCCAGCCCACTACCGGACAATTACCAGAGTGATAACAGAGCCCCGTTAATCACAGCTGTGCCATCCCGACGCCATACCGGAAGTCCTCCATGGGGTTTTCATGGCAAAGATATTGGAGTGGGTTGCCATTTCCTTCTCCAGTGGATCACGTTTTGTCAGACCTCTCAGCTATGAGCTATGCTGTGCAGGGCCACCCAAGACGGACAGGTCATTGAGCTACACAAGCCCCTTCGCCATGACAAGGCAGTGATCCATGAATGAGTAAACCAGTGTAGGTAATGGTAATTCACCAGATGTTTTGAAGGTAGGTAATCCACCAGATGTTTTGAATCACAAGTCTCATCAGCATGTCCAATGGCCAGGGATCTGGGCAGATGTAATCCAAAACATCTAGAGGACATTAGATTGCTTATTGCTGCTTATCTATTTTAAACTAATAAACTTTACACACACACTTAGAATAATGTCACGAAATTGTTCTGTAGAATCAAGACGGATTGTAAGTAGAGCAGAACCGGTGGTGAACGCTTTTTCTTGAACCTGAATAGGGAAGGATAAAATTAACCTTGGTGATGAAGTGCAAAAATCCTGTTCATGCAGACCTGCAATATTTTGTAATAAACAATCCAGAAGGAGTTGTAGAAACAAAACAGAAGTGCTTGCTCATTGGCCTTCAGCTCTGAATTTATTCATATGGAAAGGATACAGAATCCTTTTACACTAAGATTGCTTAAAGAAGACAGGCCACTACTTCATTTTCTGATCCCATCAAGTTCTTAGGAGAACTAAACTTGTGAGTTCAAAGAAAAGTATTGCCTCTGGCAGCAACTAAGAGTTCTTTCAAGTAAGCAGATTTCCAGCACATGAAACAAATAAGCAAGTTTAATTTTGTTTTACTCAGTTTTAAAATACCCTTACAGTGTAATATACCAACCTTTTAGCATAATACACTGTATTTAGAGTTATTTACTGTGCCTTTTATGGATGCATCAAATATTCAAATATCCAATAAACATGACATGTTTATTTTAACTATGAAATGAAAGCAAATGCTCTTTTAACTATGAAATGAAAGCAATACCTGGCATCTCTAGATTGGATGAGGAAAGACTCCTGTCTTTAGCCTGGAGAGCCACTGCCAGCCATCATAGATAATGTTGGATTAAATGGGTGAATGGTCTGACTGGGTGTAAAGCAACTTCCTATGAAAATGTTGAGAAGTACATTAGTCAATCCTGTAGTAAATGGTGATGGGTTTTGCCATTTACAGACTAGGAGAGTGGTCTGTAGCCACCATTTAATTGTACAGTAGAAGAAGATAGGAGGATTTGCATTTTTTTCTAAACACCACAATGATAGCATACATAAAGGAGAATTTGCAAAACGCATCTTGGAAGCTAAGTGCTCTCTACAAACTGCATAACTAGCCATTTTCAGTAATGAAACAAGTGCTACTTTGGTTGGTAGAATTTATTTAAAAATGTATAATCCTGTCCATCCTGTCAAATGTCAAAACAAGGTAGCTAACAAGTTACAATGATTCAGTTTGCATGTAACAGGCCAATTGTGGATTAATTTAAAAGATTGATGCTGCTGTCTTTTAAAGATGAAACTTTGTCCTGATTGGAGGTTGTTCTGCCAAATCCAAACCTGGACACTACGAGCCAGTCAATGCAGATAACCTCTAATTAGTTGTTTTACTCATAATTAATTCACAGTGTCGAAGTTCAGACATCATAGAATAACTACTGAGCAGAATTAACGTATTGGAAATGATAGTGTCACAAGCCAGGTGCATGGTGGAACAACTCATGGTTTGAATGATTAATCCATGTTCTTCCATTAATTAATGCATGCCATCCATTTCAAATCTTACGTGTAGCAATAAAAATAGTAAATGCACCAAAGAAGAGTGATAAAACAGTAAAAATAAGTTGCAAAAAAGAAAGTACAATTGAAAACAAGACCAAAATAATCAAACTCCAGGCCAAAAGACTTCAGTAGCAGAAGTGATGTCAATCAGTCTAACATTATTACAAAATAACTTGTCTTTAGCTTGCTGACTGGAGATGGCATTCCATGGAGTTTGTGCCACAACTAAAAATCTGCATACATTGGTGTTGCTTTTGATTCTTAAAAGGATATTTAATATTTATTTATTTGCAGAGAACAAAAAGAACATATGCAGAAAATGAGTGAATTTGTTTCTGAGCCCCAGATACCTGAACGGCCACCACAGGAAATGCCTAGATCCCAAAGTACTGCTAGGAAGGATAACTTTCAGGTAAATCAAGTTTTGCTGCAAAAATTCTATACAAATGTGATCTGGCTGTGATATGCTTGTTTCTTTGTCTGTTTTAAAAAGATGCATAAGCTAGTTCTCCAGCCAAAAGTAAACCTGAAGTAATTAATAGAGCTAACATAGTACAATACAAGCATGATGCCATCGAATCTCAAATAAAAGCAAATAAAGATAAAATTGAAATCTCAACATACCACGAAAAGGATTTAACTGTACATTTCCAGGTTAATAAACATTTTAATGATTTTTCTGGTTGATTACAAAGTTTCAGTTGTGGGGCTGCCCATTGTCCATTGGGAGTAACATGTATTTTCAATTAAACAACAAACCTACAGTGGCTTATCTTCAGGCTGGCTTAACGTGATGTCCAATTCACCCATTGTTGATAATTTTACCCTTTTTTGGTAGTAGTTCATGTTGTGAATGTTAATTAACTGAGGGATGACATATACATTTCTACATTTCTCAACAGAGAACAGTCCTAAATAAAAGCAGAAAGACATGCTTTGAGAGACTTCCTCCTAGCTTTTTAGAAAGAGGAGGGGGACACACAATCGCAAGGCTTACTGGAGCTCATTCCTGTTTATGCATTTTGTATTAAGCTATTGTTCAGTAAGGCATGTGTTCGGGCAGCATTGTTCAAATGACTGTTACTTTACAGGTCTTTTATTTACAACTTTCATTTTATGTAGGGCTCCTCTGAAATGCAGCTTGATATACCAATGGAGGAACAACCTATCAAGCCTACTCCAGCTGTAATTATAAAGCCACCAGTCTTGTTTCGGAAGCCTACTCCAGCAACCAAGCCAGCTTCTATAGTAACAAAGCCTTCTACCCCAGTGATGAGGCCACCTGTGCCAGCTACAAAGGCTCCTCTCTCAGCAGCTAAGCTACCTGTTCCACCAACACAGCCAAGTATTTCAATTCCCATTTCAACTGCAGCAGCCACTCAGGTCCCAGCTCCAGTGGTAAAGTCATCACCTGGCATAAGCCAAGAGCGTTGGGATGAGGATTCTTTCCAGGGACTTTGGGATAGCAGTGAAGATAAAAGTTTAAAATCAGAGTATGACTTGCCCTCATCAGATCCTTTGTTGCCATCAGCAACAGTCCCGACATCCTTTGCACCAGGAATGGGACAACTTTCCAAGTCAACAATTATGCATCAGACTGTTGACTATGGACATGGACACAACCATGGGCAAGGTGAATACTATTTACTTTGATAATCAATGCTATTTAATACAGCATTTATGCCAGAAACATAAAGAAAACTTAGCCAATACAGTTAGATGAGTGTAGTGGGATGCATTCTGTGCATTGAAAATGAGGCCTTAAAGGAACATTTTATAGTGATATGTAACAGAAAAACTTTATGTCTGACTCCTTAAATCTTCTTATCATCTGTTCAGATTATGAATTTTACTGGCTCTTATTTTTATACCTTCTATAGAGAGTATGGCTTACCTTGGATGTTACACTGCAAGCATGTTGAACTTCAGGCTTGTAGGCCAGCCTAGCCCTGCAGGGTTCTACAGATTCCATGCAGTTTTCCCCTGTTTGTCAGTTGTTTGGTGATTTTCTGGGTTTAGTGCTGTCTTTTTCCCATTCTGAAAGGTTGAAGTGCCTGTCCTCAAGCTCTGTTATTGGCAGCAAGAATTTTAACCTAAAATAGGCTGGAATTATTGGTATTTTGGTGAACCCCTTTTGCCTTTGTGGCATCACTGGAATATGGCTCCCAAGGGCATGTCTGATACTGATTTTATCTTTCAGGCTAAAAAGAGGTTCTGTGCCTCTGCTGTACTGATAAATTATAAAATAGCAGCCAGCAGTCTACAGAATTGCCAGTATGGGGCTTGACATTGCTAGATTAGTGCAAGAGCATTAATAAAGGCAATCAAAAAACAAATGATAGTTACCTAATGGTCTGTAAATGGATCATGTATTGTGTGACTCTTCAATCCTAGTAACTACAGAACTAAGTCTGGAAGTGCTTTCCTGTAAAGAAAGGCTAAAGCATTGGGGGTTTTCATTTAGGAAAAACGATTACATGGTAAAGGTTTATAAAACTATGACTAGTGTGGCAACAGAATCGTAGACATTAGCATGATTGAATAAAGCAATTTTTAAGCTCTTTGTAGAACTGCTTCTTAATAATTACTTTGTATGGTGATTTTGTTATGTTGCATTTGTACCTGCTTTGACAGGTTGCTGCAGCACTATAATGCCTATTTACCCATCCAAGTTCTACTGACGAATAGCAGGTGGGAATTGTGAGAGTCTTTGGGCAAAATTAGGCTTCTGATGATTTCTGATACTTAGTGGCACCTGCTATTTTATTTTTTGAAAGCAAGAAATATTACACTTGCAGTGTTTCTGAGAAACTTTTCCCCCATGGAGAAAAAACTCTTATGAAAGCTTTAGCTAGGGAATGTCTGTTAAATTTAATTAAACTAAATTTGTGAGTAAGTCAAAATACAGAATCTTTTTTCTATGTGTCATTTGTACGTCTAGGGTATTGAAGCAACTCAGTTTTTAAAATAGTAAAACAGTGGATTGTGCCTTTCCTAGAGTCCTTGCTAATTGAAGAAAGGACAGATGTGTTGAACAGAAGAACAGTATCTGGGGCAATTTTTCTGGGGCACTATCTTTAATTCTGTTATGCCAATTTGTATTTAACAGACATAACCACCAGTAAAGGTGGACAAATTCCTTATGGGGAGCGAATAACTCTACGTCCAGAACCTCCTCATGAGAGGCAGTCCTTTTCAAAAGGTGGGTGCCTTTGAGATATTGCTTTGAAGAAAGCAGGGATTACTTTCAAATTTGGTAGGTTCCCTTCTGAGAAAAGAGATGAATTTTTTCTTCTTCCTTTTTTACATCAAGGTAACTTAAGTACATTGTCCATGTTTTGAATTGTTTTAAATATTCACTTAGAACTGTTGTAAATTGTATGTAGAATGTAGGGGTAGGGTTTTGGACAACTTCTTCAGACTATGAGTGAGCTGGTAATCTTTGACTGTTCCGTCATATAAAGAGCTGCTCACATGTAGAAAACTAGCCCATCAGAGAACATGAGAGAGCTTAGCAAAGCCTGCTGCTTGATATGATAGCTTTTTTCCTGAATGTTTAACACATGTTTAACACAAATCCCACACTTGTAGTCTGAAGTGGTTTAGCCTAAGAAGTCTATTGCTTCATTCTACTTCATTTCACAGAATGACAGAACATCTCTAAGATTAGTTTGACTTTTTTTTTTTCAGAACATCTAGGTCAAAGAGATCGATACATTAAGGAGAGGGAAGCTTACTTTGAGCGGCAAAATAATACCAATATAGATCACAGAGATTTCAGGAGAGAGCGAGAGCCATACAGGGACCGTATTTCTGGAGACCATGAACGGGAAAGATTTGACAAAGAACGCTATCAACGAGAAGATAGGTATGTAGCATAGGAATAATTAGAGCACAAATTTTTTTGCATAATGCTTCATATAAAGAGTCCTTAAGACTGTCTATTTTATTTGTGAGCAGTAGTAATAAAACTGTTTTTAATATTGATTCTGTACATATAAGCAACTTTATAAAAATCACAGTGATGTTTAACATTTCAGTTTTCGATCATATAAAATAAAAGACGGTCATATAGCCTTACATAAAAATAGACTGACAGGTTAAAAATAGCCAAGAAGAAAAATCACTTGTCACATTGCTGTCCAGTAGAAGTCCATACATTTTGGCTATGTTGTTTCAAATAGTACCCAAGACTTGGCTTTCCCTCATTACACTCCACAAAGGTAGTGCTGACTGATGGGTCTGTATTTGTGTTTTAAATTTAGTGTTGTTGTGAGCTGGTTCATATGTAATGACAGCCCATCAATTAAAGAACCCATGGATTATTGAGCACACATGGATGTGATTTCTGCAGAAGATCCATCTTCTCTCTTTTGGTGCATAACTCACACTTGGCTACTTCATGGGATGTGTAGCATGACATACATATCTGGACTGGTGGGTTGCTCAGGAGCATGGCTTGTTGGGCTGTAAAGTGAAAGAGATTCAGCTCATGTACAATAATCCATCAGTTTTTAAACTGTATGAACAGCCTCACTATAAAAAGAAAGGATGATTGTAATCGTTTAATCATTCATTTTGTTATAAATTACCTTGAATTTGTCAGAGATAAGGAAGATTATGACTGTTTTAAATAGGTAAAAACTCTTCCAATAAGTTCAACAGCAAAGTATTGGTTGAGAAATTGAGGAGTTTTGGAATAGACCAATGCACTGCCCGATGGATTAGGGCCTGGTTGACTGACCAAAAGCAGAGGGTAAACATTAGTAGGGAATCATCAGGATGGCAGCCAGTGACAAGCAGGGTCCCCCAGGGCTCTCTCCTGGGGCCGATCCTGTTCAGTCTTTTCATCAGAAACATGGAAGAAGGGGTGAACAGTCTGCCGATCAAATTTGCAAATGATACTAAAATGGGTGCAGTGGCCACAACTGAGGAGCAGGTATTCTAGATCCAGAAGAATCTGGACAGACTATAGAAGTGGGCAGGGGACAACAGGATGGCGTTCAATGTGGATAAGTGCAAGGTCTTGCACTTGGGGCATAGGAATGGGTGTCATAAGTACAGGTTAGGTGACAAGTGGCTGGAGAGCAGCACTTGTGAGAGGGTTCTCTGGGTACTGGTTGACTGCAGGCTAAACATGAGCAAGCAGTGTGACACAGTGATCAAGAGAGCAAATGCCACCCTTGTTGCATAGCCAGAAGCATGGCCTCTAGATCAAGAGAGGTATTACTACCACTCTATATGACTCTGGTGCACCTGCAACTGGAGTATTGTGCTCAGTTTTGGGCCCCTCATTACCATAAGGATATAGCCAGGTTAGAGTCAGTGCAGAGTAGGGCAACAAGGATGGTGGCCAGATTGCAGGGAAAGTCATATGAGGTGAGACTGAGGGAATTGAGACTCCGGGAGATCTGTTGGCGACATATAAGTTTGTGAGGGGGTGTCACATGGAGGTGGATAGAGACCTGTTCTCCCCTGCAGGGGAAGCAGGATGCACTCCAACAGAGCCAAGCTCAAGGAACAGAGGTTCAATTTGGATGCCAGGAAGCACTTCCTGACAGTAAGGACCTGTAGGGTATGGAATGGGTTTCCATGGGAGGTGGTTGAAGGCCCATCGGTGAGAGTGTTCAAGGATAGGCTAGACATGCACATGGTAGGCGTGTCGTGAGCAGAGCCAGTTGGAGCTGGGCATCAGACTAGATGGCTCAGGAGGCCCCTTCTGACTTGCTCTGTTTCTATGTTTCTGAAGTATTGAGTTGCTGTAGAAACTTATATTAGAGAGCTAGTTTAACAAATCCAAGTTTGTGTTCACTGCACTTCTATAATACATTCTATAGAGTGGCCAAGTGCTGCTTACCATGGAACATATTACAAAATATTTGAAAGGAAAAGATGAATGAGGATAAGAAGAGGTGTTTCTGGATTCCTAGAGAGAAATTAACATTTTCCTTCAGAAACATGTCATTTGGGGTGCTCATGCTTTAGCGTATGCTAGAGTACATTTGTTGCATCTAGTAGTAGGGGATTAGGTTATCAGGAAACTATTGTATAGATTTGTAAAATGTATGTAATGTTTGGAGTGCATTTTGTAACACATGGACACAATGTGTACATTTCCAAGTGTTATGCATGACAAAATGTCATGAACCACCCAAAGATCTTGAGCTTTCTCTGCAATTGAAAATGCTTTTTCCATTTGGCAGGCCATCTCCCTCAAGAACTCAGTCTTACCGTGACAAAGACCATTCAAACTCAAGAAGGGGAGGATTTGAAAGACAGTCATATGAGAGAAAGCCTGATCGTCCTCCCTATGATCATGGACCTTCCATGTTTGGAGGTATAATTCTTCAACTGCAGAAATATAAAACCAGAGGAGGCTTAAAACAAGTATAGGACTATGAACTTGTTGGTGCTCTTTAGCAGTAAGGAAAAAAGTATTAGTAATTTTTCTCCCTAATTCAAAAATGTAGTTTTAAGTAATTCTTTTCTCCAGTGTCATATAGATATTTCTTTATCCTAACCACCTTAGGAATTTGATTGAAGGACCGTACACTAATGTCCTAATAAAAATAACTAAAGCAAGAACCCAATTTTGCTGTCCAGCTGTTAATACCAGTAAACCCAACTTTTGATTCCAGAATATGACAGTATATTGGATATTATTATAGCATTTAAGGATTTTTAGAATGGGTGCAGGTGAGGCTTAGAGTCAGTAACCAGCCCAAAGTCACTCAGTGGATTTCATGGCCAAGTGGTGGCATAGAATTCAGATTTCCTAAGTCCTAGTCCAACACTCTAACCACTCATATCAGTGTTTTAGTTAGTTTATAATATGTACAAATGAGAACATAGCTTAGGTCTCATTTCTGAGAGACTGAGAGCACAGTCTCTGGTATGTATAAGTGACCAAGGAATGCTGGAAATCTTAGGCATTTTTTTCAGTCTAAATATACATAGGGTTGCTCCCTAAATAACTTATGGTCCTCCTTCTGGAGTTAAAATTGAGTTAACATGTAAACCCTGTTCTCTGGAATAGATATAAAATTATGATAAACTATGGAAGATCATGGTGCCAAAGCCTCTGGCCTGAAAAGAAAAAAAAATCTTCATATCATTCTTGTTTTTATTGTACTGGGCCATCTTCTAGTAGCTTATTTTTTGTTCTAGTGTAAAATGTTTATTTTGAAATAAATTAATGAAAATTACAGACTAAAAATGATCTTTTTATTTAGATTTTTATTTAATTTTGCTTTTTCTTCCTCTCGTTTGTGCAAACTTATGTTAAGGTGAAAGGAGAAATTACCCTGAGGATAGAATGGCTATTTCTGCTCCATCAATACCCCGCCAACCACCACCTGCCCCACGTGTAGAGAGGAAGCCAGAATCTAAAAATGTGGATGATATATTAAAACCACCTGGACGGGAAAGTAGACCAGAGAGAGTAAGTATTGTGAATGTGACTTTCCAGTCATATCCAACAAAATGTGTAGGAAACAAAGAGCTTCTGTTGTTTCCCATAACTTCCAAACCCTTTGAAAAATCTGTGAATCTCAATAAAAGAAAGCAGATTAGAGACCTATGATTTGGTAAATTTGACTGCAATTCTGCTGTGTGCCTTGCCTAATCCCCTTTCCCTTGTTAGCAATTCAGCCAGTGTGGTATGATGGTTAGAGCAATTCTTATATAGGGGCTTTCATGCCTGACTTGCAAGCAGACGGGGTAATTAGCCAGTCTGACCCACTTCCTAACTATAACACACACTCCCTTAGGTAGTGCCTAATTGATTCTGTGATTGCAAAATGCAGTACTGAAACAGATTGATCTCAGCAGATGCCTTTATGTGAAAAACTCTGTAAATGGATCTTTTATCCTTTCCTCTTAGGCACACTGTGACTCAACAAAACCTGTGAATTGAGGGCAAAGGATGGGCCTGAAGGAAGAACAGATTATGAATGTTATCTTCCTTTTGTGCTAATTGATCTGTCACTCCCACAACACCTCTATTCCCAACAGTGTACCATATTTGTTCCCTATAATAAAGGCTTCTTTTGATTTACGCCTGCACTGCATAGCTTCCCAAATTCCTGCAGTTAAGGCAGCATAACTTAAAAGCTGGTCTTCACAGTGATTTAAGCCTCCAGAATTTATAAATAACTTCCCTTTGTTATCTTAAGGATTTTTTCTTCAATTGTATTGTTACTTAGGCTAATGAAACAAGACTTTCACTTTGTGGGATTTTAGTTAATGCATGAGTCTGGGGAGTCATGCCACGTCAAAACTGAAATCTGGTTCATTGTTACCATAGCAATGCTGCAGAGGTGGCTTCATTTTTTAAGTCCCTTCCCAAGGGACTACAAGGAGTTGAGCTGTAGCTTGCCTTGCCGTAGGCAGAAGATTATTTGTCCACTATATACTCATTCAGCTGTGCAGCTGTCCAGTCTTTCAGTTATGTGGTCTTTGTTTCAGATTGTCATAATCATGCGAGGACTGCCAGGCAGTGGAAAAACTCATGTTGCTAAGCTCATCAGGGTGAGTGAATGACCATCCACTTGCTTTATATCTGTACTGAAGAGCAGAATTCAGTTACATCTTGGTCCTAGCCATGTGTGCATAGTTTCCTTTCTTTATCTGTTCAGAGTACAAAAGGAGAACTGTGATTCTAAAAATATTGTATATTTTTCAAATACCTCTGATGCCCTTTTTCAGTTTAATACAGCAGCTGGGCTGACAGAAATAAAAAGTTAAAAATAGAATGAACTCTTGCTAAATAGAGTGTGCTCTGCTTTGGAATTCTTTATGTTCCAACATGAAGCACATCTTACCATAAATGTAGGTTTATTTTCCTTCATGTTTCCTTCCCAGGATAAGGAAGTTGAATGTGGAGGAGCTGCACCCAGAGTGCTCAGCCTGGATGACTATTTCATCACTGAAATAGAGAAAGAAGAGAGAGACCCAGATACAAAGAAGAGAGTGAAAAAGAAGGTATTTTTAATGCACGTTCCTGTTAGTTAAAGTATTGTAACTGGCTTCTCAATGAATATGAACCACTGCAGTAACCTGCAAGGTTGCCATAATAACTAGGGAATTATCCCAGCTTCTAGAGCCTAGCAAATTCTGAGCCTAAAGCATGGCAGGATGCACTCTTGACTTGGTTTTCACTCTGGATTGAATGATAAGAGAGGAGCAGGAGAGATGTCAATTACATTTTCATGAACAAATTTTTACCTAGCAAGGTTAAGTCTGTTGGCATTTTCCAACATCTGCAGTTGATCTGCTCTCAGCCCCTGATAGATATAGTTCTGTGGAATTTTCCTGCTAGCATGGGTAGTTTTTCTTTTGCTACTTTATTATTCTGAACACAAAATAGTCTTGAATCTCATAGGCAGCATCTCATGCTGACAAGATCCTGATAAACTTGATTTTCCAGGGAGTTAAAGCAGTAACATAACTGAAACAGGAATTAGAATGCAGGTGGGAAAAACTGCTAAATAAATCCACTTGAGCATTGGCTAAAGCCTACTTGAAAAACTACTTGATGCCTCAATGCTAACAGAGGTGGCTTACATTTATGGCATGGTTACATCCACAGCAAAACCTTTCCATATAATAAGGATCCTTCTCTATTTTGGCCTCCAAAGTGGATTGGGGACAGTCCTCAGTAGGCCACTGAGATATATTTGCTTCAGCCTTTTGTGGATAAGATCATGCATGCCTACTCCAGCCTGGACTCCAGTTTGATTACAATACTAGGGTCCCCTAGAACCTTGTTCAATTAGAGTTATTTGAATGAATTTCAGTTATTGTAGCCCAAGGATGCATAAAGCATGCTTAGAGATATATAGTCTACTACCTATCTTGGGTATGTACAAAGAATTGGCTTTGGATGGAAAATCTACTTAATTCCCTTGTTTCAGCTTGTTTCCATAAAAACATAAGAAAAGTCATGCTGGACCAGACCAAAGTTCCATCTAGTCCAGCACTCCATACACATGGTGGCAAACCAGCTGCCCATGGGATCATTCAAGCAGTTTGGGTGCAAGACTTCCACCTGCCCAGAATTTCATGGGGTGCTTGCCAGAAATTGAGCCATGCTTGGCCATCAGGAATGGAAGCCAGCAGTCCTGCTTGCTGTGCCCCCTTTGCCCATGCTCCACTGCTTGCAACAGCAAGTAGGGAGGGAGCTTGACCACCAGGAATGATGGCTGGGGAAGGTCCCCAGTTGCATAACGATGGGTCTACAAACTCTGACTTCTTCCAGGCTTGGCTTTCTTCCTTAGAGAGGGACAAGCACCAGAAGAAGTCCAACAGATAGGCACAAACCAGGTTCCAGAGAGGGTCAGCATATCCTTAACCTATATCCTTGCCAATTATGGCTGGAAATACCCAGCCAAGAGCATGCAGCTGCTTGGATCAAACAGGTGTTAAATGCTTTACCAGTAGAATGGAGTGTCTCCATCACCTGGAAAGAAACACCCCTCTTGAAGAAATGTTCCTTGGACCCTAATGATTTACCAGCTGTCAGCCAGTGTTGAATCTTAGTTCTTTTGAGCAGGGGTTACTGGTATAGCTGCAGATATTTCTTAATGACAGTTGATTTGATTAATCCATTTAGTGTCCATTCCACCCTGACATTTGGACTGAAATGGCTTTAACCTATGCCAGCTCCTGCTGATTCTCCTGATCCTACAGCAGCCTTCAGTTATGATCAGTCAGAATAACCTTCTGGCTCTTCTATCTGTAGTGGGAATTGGAGATATCATATTTCAATGTTTCCACTCTGATCTGGTAGACAAATTCCAGATTGTGGCATTGTAGACTAATTCTTTGACTCCTTGAAATTTAAGCTATGAGTTTCCGCAGGGTTTCATCCTTTTTCCCATGCTGTTGAGGGAGGTTACTTAGAGTTGGGAGTTATCTCTGTTTCTCTTCTTTTACTCTAATCCTCATAAGCAAAATGATTTACTAGTTTATTGCTATTAAGTTACCAACATATGTGACAGCAGTAGGTACATTTGAGCTTTTTGAGAAAAAGAGTTTGTTCTTTTGTCTAACCTCCTTTTCTCTGGAGCAGATTTTGGAGTATGAATATGAAGCTGATATGGAAGAGATCTACCGTGCCAGCTTGTTCAAAACTTTCAAAAAAACTTTGGATGATGGGTTTTTCCCCTTTATCATCCTTGATGCCATAAATGATAGAGTACGCCACTTTGAGCAGTTCTGGAGTGCTGCAAAAACAAAAGGGTTTGAGGTAAGCTTTATTGAATAATCTCAGTCATTATTAGCACTTCTAAAACAGTCTTTTAGTGCCTTTGAATTGTGAATGTAGCAACTTGGCCCTAAGACAGAGCCAACCTTAGTTACCTGTAGGATTGGAGGTCAATTTTGGTAGAGAAACCTGGTAGCTGCTGCCTCACTATATTACTGAAGGACCAAAGCTCAATGGTAGAGTGTATGCTTTGCATGCTAAAGGTTCCAGGTTCCATCCTTCTTATTTCCAGGCAGTGCTGGGAAAGATCCCTTTCTGAAACCTTGACAACCTATTGCCAATGAATGCAGGCAAAAGTTCACTAGATGAAACAGCCATCTCACTAAAGCAGCTTCTTATTTTCCTATCACTGGCCTGGAATAAGATGAAGATATCAGTTAGGGCCTGATTCACTGAGGCAGCAGACAATGAAAGCAAAGAACAGGTTGGAGGCCAGATGCAAGGTTAGTGAATTTAATAAATGTTGCCCAGGCAAAGATTCAAATCTGATCTGGAAGCATATATAGCCAGGCCATGACAGACAGTAAGAACAGGTTATGGGGTAGCAGCGAAGTCATGCAGGAATCTGAAGAAAACAACACTGCACCGTTTCCCTCTGCAGTGCAGAGTGGTGACCTAACTGTGGAATGGTCTCCTGAGACCTAAATAGTCATCTGTCTTTCCACTTTTAGAAATGTGATGAAAAGCAGCTCAGTTCAGCCAAGTTTTGCCTTGCTGGAATGAAACTGCTACGTGATAGGAGTGCTGTGATTTACTGGAGAATTGTTTCATTTTTGTCTTGGATCTTGATGTTTTGTTTACAGTAGTTTGTTTTATATTGTGATTGTTTTGCTATGATAATAGTTATTTTTATAATAATAAAATAAAGAGGATTATTTGGATTCATAAAGAGGTGTGTAAGGAGAAAAGCAATGCTGATGAATTATCCCATTGTAGACTAAAGGCCTTTTGGGAATGAAAGAGGCAATTGTTCTTGGTGTGTGTTTCAGAGCCAGGGTGACATGGACTCTTCGGGTGAGACGGAGGAGGCCTGGGAAATGAGGCCTCTAAACATAGAGATGGAGGAGGCAGAAGAGTTTATCTCAGGGCTGCCATCTCCAGGTATTCAGGCAGACCCTGACCTTCAGAGTCTGCAAATGCTGGGAGAGGACTTGGGGTAGAAGCCAGATGAGTCTTGCCCTCATGACACAGTGTTGGGAGAAGAGTAGGACTAGCCAACTAGAGGGCCTGCATACAGCTAGGAGGCTTTCCTGTCTCCAGAGGGGCACTCTCAGAGAACTAGGATCCCAAAGGTGGATTTGCAGAGCTAGTGCCTAGTTTGGGTTCAACAAACTGCTCTGTGTATGCTCAGACTTTTTTCATTGCCTCTAGTTTGGATGTCCACTGGAAATAAAGAGCTTTTGCTGTTGTTTTGAAAGAGAAACGAGGGAAGCCAAGCTCCCAACGGGGCCCATCTAGTATTCTTGTTCACACACTGGACAACCAGTTGTCCACAGGAAACCCACAAACAAACTATCTGGGCAAAATCACTTCCCTGCCCTGGTTTCCCAGCAATTGGTGTACATGGTCATACTTCCTGTACTACTGTTGGTAGCAAATAAAAATAAGGACTAGGAGCTGTGTTCCACGGAAACGTCCAGTCCTCCTTTAAAGCTATCTAACTTGATGTCCATCACTGCATCTTATGGAGATGAATGCCATAGTTTAATCATGTGGTTTGTGAACAAATTCTATTTATCTGTCCTGAAGCTGCCGCCAATCAGCTTCATGGAATGATCCAGGGTTCTAGCATTATGAAAGAGGGGGGAAAAGGCCTCTCTGTCTATATTCTTGACACCATACATAATGTTGTACACATCTCTCATGTCTCCTCTTATTTGCCTTTTATCTAATCTAAACTATCCCAGACGTTGTAACCTTTTCTCATTGGGGAGCTGCTCCAGCCGTTTGACTACTTTAGTTATCTTTTGCTGCTTTTTTAAACTCTACAATATCCTTTTTAGTTGTGTCAACCAGAACCAGAACATATTTTTCTAAGAATGGGTGCACTATAGACTTCCATAGAAGCAAGAGGATATTGGCAGTTTTATATTCAGTTTCTTTCCTAATTATGCCTTGCACAGAGTTTTTTCTTTTGACAGCAGCTGACATTTTCATGACCTCAAGATTGCGTTCTTGGTCTGTCACTAATGAGTTCAGGTCCCATCAGCTTATAAATCCATGAAATTACTAAGAGGATGAGTGCATAGGCTTGTAAGCTTTCCAGTTTAGGTCCAACTGATCCTGAGGTTATCACTGCCATCTTTCAGCCAGGTTTTATCCATCTTATTTTGGATATACTATGTTTCCTTTGTCTATCATACTTACATTGGAAAATGCCTCTAAGAACGTGGGCCACATGTTTTGAACACATTGCATACTCTTTCCTTCTGTATTCTAGGTCTATTTGGCTGAAATAACTGCAGACAACCAGACTTGCTGTAAGAGAAATGTCCATGGACGTAAACTCAAGGAAATCAGTAAGGTAGCTGTATAATTATATGGAAGCACAGAGACCACTGAAATTTTGTTTTCTAAGGACAACCAGAAGTATATGTCCTGGGGGGAAAAAACAAAGCTATCTATTTTGAAGAGATCTAAGAATGGTCCTATATTCACTAGTCAAGGTATTCTGTAAACGTCCTTCTTTTGCACATTCTGTAATCTTAAGTCCTTTTCTCATTTGAGAATCTCTCTTGTTGTTAGTATACCTGGAAAATACTATAGCTGCTATTACCAGCATTTAACAGGCACACTTGTAAAAACCTAGGGTTAGATCTCTCTCTCTCTCTCTCTCTCTCTCTCTCTCTCTCTCTCTCTCTCTC